CATTCAATTCCACATCGAGTCCATACTGTATCTTATATCCGTAAGTACCTTCTTTGCCGATAAGTATATGTGTCAGGTTTCGCGAAGTCAAAGGTGCAACTTACGCGCCTTGAATGTCATGATCAGACAATATAAAGCGGGTTTGATCAGTTCCAAACACAAAACAAGCTCTATTCAAGCAATTACTGAATCTCAATCTTTCAAACACTCTTGTTTTTACAATTGGGGCTGGAAAACTCAGTCGACATTTCACAGTAGGAGACACCAGCCTAATATTCGAGCTAAAAACTCTGATCTCACAATGGCTGATTATAATGATGTTTTAGGAGATGATGATTGTCCCCCGTGGTTAACAGCAACCCAAGAAACTGAATGTCACCCAAACCAGCTAATTAGCATCCTTCCGAATCAGGTGCTAACTGGTGATTACGCAGGCGAGTTTGTCCACAAGCACTTTCCTGTATATAAACTCCTGCAAGGAGCGCACGTGGTGGAAGCTCTATTTCTTGGCTAGACACTGAAGGTGTTGTCGTGAAACTCTTTTACATCACGATCTCATGTTGTAAACAGGATCCTCAGCAGCGAGGTTGATCCGGATCAACCCAGACGAGCATATGCTGCTCTTCGCCGCAGTCACTTACGAGGCTGACGCTTATTTTTCAATCCAGGTATGATGTGATTCGAACGTGCAAAGATGGAGAATTGGAGCCACAGCGCATGGAATTTAAGTGGGTTTATTGAAGGCTATTCGTACAAGGCTTGGATTGTAACACCGTCATGAGCCTCAGATTTTGCATGTGGACAAAGGGGACTTTTTCCAATAAGCGGCTTCGCATCGGACTTCGGGCTAGGCCCTTGATGTTAACTGAAGCAGAACATCAAGCTAGGTCCAGCCTATCTAGTCCGCTGATACATATTTTTCCTCGTTTTTCATAATTGAACATTCATTCTGCATTATAATATCATGAAATGAGCACAAACAGACCTCAGTTAAGAGACAAGAGCCAGTGAGCCCTACGAACATAGCCGATCTAGGGTACATGGACATAGAGACATAGAATATATGTTTCTTTCATGGACCAACTGCTGAGATTCATATATAAACAAGATATGACAAGGTATTGGAGGCAGTTAATTAGCAGATCTGAATGCTAGGAATCATGTACGATTCATGGCAAGGTGAAGCTGGAAAGTTCGTACAAAACCTTCCAGCCTTCTTGAGAATTATTCAAATTGTTGAGTTCTATGCAGCAACTTTCCATTGATATGACATTGCCACGCAAGTCAGAAACGAGAGATTGACTCTCTTCAAACTTGTCATAGTAAAATCAGTGCTCTCTCAAGACTAGAGACCGGCTTTCAAACCACTTGGCCTCATGCAGCAATTTTCTAACCTTTTGACGTCGCTCTACATGGGTCTTCTACTGATTTCAGTGGTGGTCTTAAAGAAAGCCCAAACAAAGCACCCATCTATCCGAACTATTACTTTAAGAATACAACATATAGATCAAATCACTAATATGTAGAAAAATAATATTGTTCAGCCACTTTAGGGGTTTGCTATGAAGATAATCTTTTCCTTTGATCTCCGTATTGTTTCTAGTTCATTCTCTATTAACGATATACATGCAAATATGAGAAATGAATTTTACGTTATATCACGTTCTTCAACCTAGAGGTGAACTTGAAATTCTGCTATGTTTCTGTCTGGCAAGAATTTAAGAAACATGATGTAGTTGCAAACATGTTGCAAATTTCATAAACTAGTTGAGAAAATTACAGTACTCTCTCTATTACTTGTGACACCATAAGTATTACAAAGAGAAAATGAAAGTCATGGTTTATTTGGAAGTTACCAATCATATGACTCTTTTTTTTTGTTAATAATCACATATTTTACAATTTATCATATTAATCAAGGTAGTACTAAAATTTATGCACAAAAACGAGTAATAGTAATTCATCCGCTTTCAGTTATCAACTTAAATGTATAAAAACTGGAAAATTTCACCTTGATGACATTATAAAATACTAGGTAATATCATTCCAAACATGCACGTATTCTTTCTAGGCATGTATGTTTGACTTTCTTCATCTTTAAAATATAACTCAAACTTTTCATATAAAACATCAAAGTGCTTGTTTCTTATAGAATTAAAATCTTCCATAAGAATCTTTCACAATCATCTATTTGAATAATGATACGCTCATGAAATCTTTAAGTAGATAGAATTGTTGAATGGCCCCTTCCAACTATCTATCTAAATTTATGATATTTGTGTTTTTCTTAAATAAACGTGAAAAATATAATAATACACCTTGCTGAGAAAGATTGAAATTAAATTCTTATTATATAGAGTGAATTTTTTTTTTATAATCTATGAATATTGATTTTTTTCCAATTTAACTTGTATGATGACATGTTTCGATAAAATAGCGGAAGACATTGAGGTTGAAAGAAGAAAAAGTAAATTAAATTTCCTCAAATTTCTATAGAAAAAAATTGAAATATTTTTCATGAGTTTTTGAAAATCATTTGTAGTTTTAACTATACGATATACATGAATCAGTTTAACAATAGTAGTAAATTTTCAGTCTAAAGTAATTATACATATCGGTAGAAGCGTATTGTATTCTTTTAAATAACAAAAGAATAAATAATAATTTCAGATAAGGATAAAGATGGCTCATTAGTGATTTAACTTTAATTTGGAAAAATGTACACGATTTTAATATCTGCAACAAAATACGCATATTAAGTAAATTTTCTCGAGAATTATCTATACCTCATGAAAGGATAATTGTTTTTCTTTTTAGAAAATGATACAGATTAATCCAAATCCATGCTTTAATAAGAGTCATGTCTTTTAATATTTATTTTTACTTAGATAAAGTATCGTTGACATTGTATTGTATGTACTATCTACTAGAACATGGAAAAATGTTCAGAACATTGAAAACTACGAAGATTGACTGAAACTTCAAAATAATTGTGTGTTTAGTAAAAAAAATAAAAATTATTTATTTACTTAAAAAATGGTGTAGAGAAAACAACTCTCATTGTTGGCGGAATCTATTGAGTATGCAGACAATATATGACTATTTGGCTATGTCATCCAACCTGTGTGCAACTGCTCATTTTTTTCGTTGCAGTTCCTAAAAACCTGTTGCATTTAAGACTGCGTGTAATCTTTAGAACCATATCATTACGTTCGAATAACCTGTTTTCTAAATAGACAGTTCCCGGACGCGATAATACCCGAGTACTAAGCAGTGCAAAAGTGTCGCTTAAAGTGTAAAAGACAGATATTGTACTTCAACTTTCCGCAAGAGCAGTGTACCGCAGCATAAAGTTCAAAGTCTGGGGGAATGTGATCGAGCTGCAGAATCTGTATATCTACAAGCCATAGTTCGGAGGCTGCAACTCATAAACACGAGTACGTGAAGAGTGCATCGAAGCACACATGAATTTTGTCTTGTCTCGAGGACAAACGAATGGATTAGAGGAAACCTCGGCCAACATTTGAGTCCATTGTCTTCACTGTTACGGGGATTTTCGGTTTCGAGCAGTCGCCTCCAAGGGGAGAAGATGAACAGAGTTACCCCTTGCTAAGAGCATCTGTGGTGCTGGGAATCAGTTCTGCTGTCAAATACTCCTCAATATCATCTGAGGCACACATGTCCTTGACAGAATCTATTTCGGTAACAGATGAGGTTTAATCTCGGCTTCTGAACTCTGTATATACCGAATTTACTTCACAATGCCAGAGGTTTTATGTTGGCTTATTCGCGTACTACATGCATATTCTCTTTACACTTGATCTCCGAAAGAACAAGGGTAAACAGACAGATGCTGATATGACGACGAAGAATCTGAAAACTCTATAGAAAGACTGAATCGTCACAATTAGTCACTCTGTAAAGTGACTAAATTCTGACGAATTGAACAGATTTCCGGATCTGGGACCTCCAAGACACGACATTACCCTTCTTGTACATGTACATGTACATTTCTTAAGCAAAGAGCAGAAATTGCAGTATAAAGAGAGAATTTACTTCTGAATTATACGGAATCGACAACGACGAAAAAGGTGAAAAGATGCATCAACAATGTGCAATTATGCAGATTATCACTAATGTTATGTCTCACGTATATCTCTCCTCTATGGTAATTTATATATATATATATATATATATATACTTACTTACTTTGCACCCAGGCGTCATCAGCAGAACTACAGTAGTGACGGAGGAGCAGCATACCAGCTTTGCCTCCGCTCCACTTTAAATTCAGTTGAAGATTGTGGACCTGACTAGTCCTGAGTAACCACTCAGTTCTAGTCAGGTCAACATTCCTGCCAACTTTGATGTAGTACAGTGGCGTCCTTTCGACAGTTTGATATTTTTGGGCTCGCAGAATATAGTAGAATGAATGTGATTTGTAATACATTGAAATCCCATAGTAGCCCGACAAACACAGCAGTATTTGAACATCTTGCAGTGTCAGCAAGTATTGAATAGTTGAATGTTTATACAGAAGACATGATTGATGCATATACTTCGTAAATTCCTTTTCAGATCGGTAGAAACAATCAATAGAATTAATTTTGAGCCCAGATTGCTGTGGATTTCGTCTTTCTCATTAGCTGAAATTTTCCCTTTACAGCCAGAATTGCCACCGACGTCTCCGTCCTCTGCCCTCGAAATATCGACAAGTCGACAGTTGGAATCAAAATTCCTGCGCATGAGGGCTGAATCATGTTCCTTGAGAAAAGTGCGCTGAAAGGTCCGAGTCGTCAAATTGGGAAGAATGTAGACCACAGTAATCCCACGTATGCTCCTATATTCTCGAATCCAAATTCAGCAGCCACGCTGCAGCTTAGGTATTCTCAGCTGCAGCGTGTTCTCAGCAGCTTCTGATGTGTTTGAGTTCTATGTCGGACATGACCTCCTTTATGAAATCACTGTGAACACAAGATGCAATAAAAGCAGCAACGATCCCTGACCAAACACACTCCCCCGAGCTAACACTAAGAGTAACTAGCTACTCTATCAAATCCTCCGCTCAGAGGAGTCGCTGTCCTTCAACTTCAGTCAAATTCGTCGATAGAAGATTCACTTTGAGGTAAACTATCTCGATTATGCAGTTTGCTTCTTCCAGAACTTTTTTTCTTGAATTCAGTCTGAAGATATATTGTCAGTTGAGTCAACTCAAAAACCCTGAGGATAGTCACATTTTTTCACTCAGAACACGTTGTACCTGCTTCTTCCTTCTCATTTCAATGAATCCAGGTCCGTGCATCAAGTGGTTTCAATGTGATAGGTCCCTTCCGATACGAAATCTAGGTTTTGATTAACAAAATCAACAAAAAGAAAGCAATGTAGAATGCTAGACTGCGCGAAAGTGTCGTAACAATCACATTGCTTTGTGAAGAGCCTGGCCATGACTAACCACAGATTTCACCATGCCATGTGTATGACAGTTGCAGAAAATTTTCGAAGGCGATAGAAAATAAATTCATAATATACTATAGACATCCAAGTACTAAGATCTATAATCATAGAAAAATATGGCAGCAGCCAACCCTGTACCACTGGCATACCAGAGCAGTGGCGAAGGGACCTCAGCACCGGATTGGCTCAACAAAGGGGATAATGCATGGCAGCTGACAGCATCCACCCTCGTAGGACTGCAGTGCGTGCCTGGACTCGTGATTCTCTACGGCAGTATAGTGAAAAAAAAATGGGCTGTGAATTCGGCCTTCATGTCACTCTATGCGTTCGCAGCAGTTCTCATCTGCTGGGTCACTTGGGCTTTCAAGATGTCATTTGGCGAGGAGCTCATTCCACTGTGGGGAAAAGCAGGACCCAGTCTGGATCAGAAATATCTTCTACAACAAGCTCTATTGCCCTCGACAGGAACCGATTTCTATCTACCACTTGCTCCACTCTATCCAATGGCAACGCTAGTCTACTTCCAATTCGTATTCGCTGCTATCACGCTGATTCTCATTGCAGGATCTCTTTTAGGACGGATGAACTTCATAGCCTGGATGATTTTCGTTCCACTATGGCTCACTTGCTCGTATACTGTGGGCGCCTTCAGCCTGTGGGGCGGTGGATTCCTGTTTCAGTGGGGTGTAATTGACTACGCCGGCGGCTATGTAATTCACTTGTCTTCTGGAGTCGCAGGACTCGTTGCAGCATACTGGGTACATTTTTACTGGCCTGATATCCAATCTTGTTCGAGTTAGGAGAATTTAAGACTGTTCTTCAGTGCTTAGCTGAGAATTTGGATTCGTTAAAGGTTCACTTGTGTGGTTGCTGAATTTCATCGCCATATCGTTCAGGGAAACTCAAACAATAGACTCACGTACTGGGTCCGTTTTCATCTGTCTTCTCATCAGGTGGGACCTAGACTCGACAAAGACCGCAAGAGCTTCCCTCCTAACAACGTGCTCCTCACACTTGCTGGAGCAGGAATGCTATGGCTGGGCTGGAATGGATTCAACGGTGGAGCGCCATACGCAGCCAGCGTTATCTCTTCAATGGCGGTTCTCAACACCAATATTTGTGCTGCGACCAGCCTGCTAGTCTGGACGAGTATAGATGTACTCGTTTTCAAGAAGCCGTCAGTCATAGGCGCAGTTCAGGGAATGATCACCGGTCTGGTGGCAATCACTCCATCCGCAGGTACCAGTTCATCTGGTCCAAGTATATCATTCTGAAATTCTGATGTAACCTGAAATGGAAAGCGTTGTTCTGCTGTGAATTCTCTACTCTCAAGCTGAATCGAGCTGAAGACACAGATTTGTTGATTCAAGGAGCTTGGATTTCATAAGACGTCATGTCGACGTTAGTTACGTACAGGTTTCAGCTATGCCTTTGATTATAATTTCTTGGAGCTCAACGAGCTTCTTGATGATGTGGTGCTAAATCAAAAAGGTCCCGCCTATTGTTCCTTTGTTCACGATCAGGTTTGGTTCAAGGATGGGCTGCGATGGTTATAGGAGTACTGGCGGGGAGCATCCCATGGTACTCGATGATGATACTGGGCAGAAAGGGATTGTTTCAGAAGGTCGATGACACGCTCGGCGTATTCCACACGCACGCCGTGGCCGGAGTCATGGGAGGGATATGCGCAGCGTTCTTCGCTCAGCCCACGCTATGCAACTTGTTCCTGTCCATTCCCAACGAGCGAGGAATTATATACGCAGGTGACGGCCACGGTCACAGAGCCGGCTTGCAGTTGGCGAAGCAGATCTGCGGAGCTCTCTTCGTCATCGGATGGAATGTCGTCGTGACGACCCTCATCTGTCTTGCCATCAAGTTGGTGGTGCCTCTGCGCATGACCGATGAGCTTCTGATAGTCGGAGACGATGCGGCTCACGGGGAAGAAGCTTATGCTTTATGGGGCGATGGAGAGAAATTTGATGCCACAAAGCATGGTGCGGGTTCCCCCTTGGCATTGACGGAGCATGATGGAGATCAGGTTCTCAGAAAAGGCATTCTCACTGACAGCCCTATCGAACTTGAAAGATTGTAAACAATCAGAGACCATACCAACTAAAATTCGGCTTCGCCTTTCAAACTCAATCAATTAGAAAACCGTGGATCAGCGACGAAGGGAATAGACAGACGAAGTGTGATTTGGGCAGATTTGAGTAACGAGGGTGGCATCGACGAGTTCAGTTTTAACAGTCTCGGTTAATTTTCTAGATACAGAATTTTCTATTCAGGGACACAGAAGTGGAAGACAGCGACTCAGATCCGTTACTATGAACTCAAAATTCACCGAGACATTCTATTTACATGATGCAATCCTACCTGCTCGAAGCCCTCGTTATCTTGCAGAGATCTTTGGTGTAGAGAATCCAATCTTCATGAACTATGATGAGAGAAGCAAAAGTAGAGCTTATGAGATTAAAGTAGGTTTATGAGAATTAAGAGATACAACCAACAACCTTTAGTCAATAAAGAGCAGATGGATGCACCTTGGACAATGGGATAATAGAAAGTAAGGATAGTAGAATAAAGACGGGGCTACAAAGAGCAATGAGCTGTAAAACCGATATTTTGAACGCTTCCATTAATTGTGAACGATCTTAAAATGCTTATCTGAAATAGGGATTGCTGATAATAAAGCCACGCGTCAGGTTCATATGTTTTACCACCCATGTTGATGAGCGTGATGCTTCGTTCATGTTTGTAGAACCCTAATTTATAGTGTACTCCTACATCTCCCGCATGTCACTGTGTTTCTCCAAGCCATGATCTAAAACCTTTCGAAAAAAGATAATTTTATCAAATATGAACCGAACATCTGTAAATAATAAACTTCATAAGCAAATTAATGTTTATCAACAATGTTTATGTGATAAATTTGGGTTGAATAAGCAGATAAGAAAAGAAATTACTTCATAAAGTAATCATGAAATTTTCAAATATATGGTTGAAGAATGAAATTCTTTGAAAGTGAACTATTAAATCTCTCAGGTTCAAAAGTGATTGATCAGATTGTAACAAATATCAATCAAGAATAATGATGACTTTGAGACATAAATATGTCACATATATTACTATGAGGTTCTCAATTTGATGTCATACAAAATCTGTTTTGATATTCCTGTGTTATCATATTCGTATCATTAAGAAATAAATAATAATAATGTTCATTTATTACAGTGAAGGAAAAAGAAATGAGCTAATTTTTTCAATGACATCATTTATGACCTCTTGGTCATAAAAAGTATTGAGTGACCAATTGTAGTTATAGTGCGGAAGTGGAGGTATAATTCTTGTAGAATTAACCTCACATATCTTTAATACCTAAAAGTACTCATCGACCCAACATAAGAAGCCACGAGCTTATATTGCCTAACAACGGAGACGCACCGCAATTTATTGTCATAGTCTGTCAAGATCCATAATTGTCACAAATTTTCCGGTCTAGGTGCATACATGTACTTCTAATGTGTGAACTTTGTTCTTTCCCTGGGCTGAAGAGGAGCCATTCGTAGTTGAGTACTGATAATGGTCTAGGTGCATACATGTACTTCTAATGTGTGACCTTTCCTCTTTCCCTAGGCTGAAGAGTAGTCTTTCGTACTTGAGTGATCCAAAAGGATTAACTTGTTATCCTTCAGTTTGGGTTAATTATCATTCTACTATATTATAAAGAACATAACTTTGTGATTGATCCCTATGTTTACTAGAGCTGGGTGATATAATCTTCGCTAACACGAGAAAAATAGAGTAGTGCACATTATCCTTGCGTGAGGGATAACTAGCCCCTTCCTCTTTCAAATCGTGATTTTGCTGTGACTTGTTCTTTCAGGCAGATGGTCAATTATTATGTCTTAAACGTCGTGAACAATTCTTATGTCTTAACCGCCGTGAACAAGGTGCCCACGCTGACCGTCACTGCTCGGAATGAAGCTCTGGGCAGGCATGACACGGTGGTCGAGAATTCGAAGGTCCTGGATGCAGGCAGCGCCAGCGCCGTCGAGGCCGACATTGCTCCTGCTGCGGGGCTGCCTCCTACGGGCCCCCGCCTCAAAGCCTTCGCCACCCGCGGGCAGCGCACAGAAGCCGTGAAGAAGGTGCCCACGCTGACCGCCACCCTCACGGCTCGGAATGAAGCTCTGGGCAGGCATGACACGGGAATGCTCGAGGCCGACGAGCAGGTCCCCAACATCGATGAGGCCGACATTGGGAACCAATTGGCCGTCGTCGATTACGTGGAGGATATCTACAGCTTCTACCGTGAAGCCGAGGTCCAGAGCTGCGTTGCTCCCGATTACATGACCCGCCAGGCGAATATCAACGATAAGAAGAGAGCACTTCTGATCGATTGGCTCATCGGCGTGCACTTGAAGTTCGGACTCATGCCAGAAACTCTTTTCTTGACCACGAACCTCATCGACCGCTACCTTTCCACCGAGAGCGTGTCGAGGAAGACGCTGCAGCTCGTCGGAGTGACGGCTATGCTGCTCGCAGCCAAGTATGAGGAGATCATCGCCCCGGAGGTCGAGGCGTTCATTTACATCTCCGCCGACACATACACCAGACAGCAAGTGCTGGCTATGGAAAAGGCAATGCTCAAAACTCTCCGCTTCAACTTGACCGTTCCCACCCCGTACGTCTTTATGGTGCGATTTTTGAAGGCTGCGGTCTCGGACAAGCAGATGGAGCTGCTGGCTTTCTTCCTGGTGGAGCTGTGCCTTACGGAGTACTCGATGGTGAAGTTCCCACCATCGCAGCTGGCAGCAGCCGCAGTGTACACGGCCCACCACACCCTCGGGCGGACGCCATGCTGGACGCCCACTTTGGTCCGTCATTCCGGCTACGGAGAAGCTCAGCTCAAGGACTGCTCGAACATGATGGTGGGATTCCACCGCAAGGCTGCCGAAGGCAAGCTCCTTGCCGTGCACGAGAAATACTCGAGCTCGAAGTTCCAGTCTGTGGCGAATCTGGCGCCCGCGGTGATCTCCGACGGCGAATTGGAGAGCTCCGCGAGCAACGCTCGAAGCGATGCGATCGGACCCGATCGATCGGCGGGGAGCAGAACCCAGCGTAGGAAAAGTAGGACGAATTGTGCGAGTTGAGCTGAAAAAATTCAGCTATTGCGCGAAAACGATCTAAAGATGGTTGTCGGAAGGGGGCGGATATCGGCGAGGATGTGTCAACTTGTTGCGTTGATATCCCATCTAGATTGATCCGTGGGTCTGGACCCGATGCCTTGTAATATATTTCATGTCACGGCCACCATGATTATTTTGATTACCGATCGAAAGCCAGGGGGTGCAACCTCCTTCTCCTCGCTGGACCGACGGCGCCAGGCACGGGGGCTCCGCAACGGGGCACGGCCGGACGGGAGAGAATTATGACGATTAGAAGATTGTCGGTGCGAAGAGCTTCGCTGGGGGCGCTCCCTTCATTGAACACATATTCGATTGAGCCGAAGGAGGACAGAATTCTGGAACCCCTCAGCTTTTTCCATCTAGAAGGTAGATTTTAGGCTTTCAAAGGCGACGATAGTAGCTGTAGTTGAAACAGTCTCCCAGCGCCCTGCATTCCAGAAACTGGATGTGGCGGTGTATTTACAAGAAAACGTGAAGACGAGAGAGCTTGGCATATATTTCGGAATTATATAATTAAAAGAAAAAAAAACAAAAATCTCTGGATGAGTACTGCGAGTCTTTGAGGGAAGAATAAGAGACTTTTTTCATCGTGAGTCGAACTGCTTAGGAGCAAATTTGAGCTAAAACTCATTGCTGCCTGATTTCCGACAGGCAGGGAATACTCAAAGTGAGAGAACCATTCTCGATGCAATGGCTTTGAACTTTGTCCCTTCGGGGACATCCAATAAAGTTGGAAGGATACAGAGAAGATTAGCATGGCCCTGCGCAAGGATGACACGCACAAATCGAGAAAAAAATGGTCCAAACTTTGAGCTCTTCGGCTGTACAAGTGAATTTCTTCAAATACTCAAAGATCTTCCACCACCTCCAGGAGACTCCGAGGAGCGAACAACAGCTCCGGGAGGTTTATGTAGTGGAGAGACGAGACAATCTGGACAATATATTGGTTGATTTGCGCGAGAGGGAGAAGAGTTCGACGAGCGTCACTAGAGTGCTAGATTCTTCGACCAAAGGCTGGCAGAGGTTGTGGATATGGCAACTCTCGAAGAAGCGGAGATGAATTCTAAATTGCAATGTTCAGGTAGGGAGCATCGAATGCGTGCCTTGATTTCACTTTGAACACATGTTTAAATATGAAAGGAAGTTTCACATCAAAATTTAATGTCGTCGACAATGCCCTCAAAACGGATTCAACGCTAGGACTAGTTAATAATACATAAATTTTCAAAAAAATACTAATACATATTTATAATCAGAATACTACACACTTATCACAAGAATGCAACTGGCAATGTTCTAAGTTACTAAAACGTTTGTGTACCCTTCGGACTAATGTTCTTTTCGACAAAGTGCAAGATTCATCACCTAGAATCATACCCCAAGCAACAAAAATTGAACTTAAAGTCAATAATAAACGTATGTACATCAAAGATCATTTAGCTTTAAAATTCACATAAAGATCAAATATCATCCCTTGAAAGCAATCATTTAAATCCTCTCGTGGCAAGCCTGATCTATTATTTTATAATATCTCTAATCAGGATTTCAATGTGCAATGGGATCCAAGGCCTTGAAATTTTATTATCAATTTCCGTGAAAAAAAATCATAGTCGGATTATAAATAGCAAGACAGAGGCTAAATATTTATATGCATTTATTTACATATTTTAAATAATATTTTGAAAAGAAACTTATGAATGGAGAAAATTATATATGACGGATTAGTAACAATCGATAACACACAAGTGACAAACGAATTATCCAAAATAACATATAAAGACAAAGTATTAAATAAAGTCTAATAACATAGTGTATTTCAGACTCAATTTCAATTACTTGCTAAATCAGAGTATTGCAATTTACAACATCATCAATCATGTGGATAAAAATTTCATTATTGAGTTTGTATATTTTGCCTATTCATTTCAAAAATAAATCATTTTTGTTTACAATGTACAACATTACCAAAAAATTATGGATGTTTCTAAAACATGGTCACATAATATGGCTAGATGTGGACAATAATCGATTCCATTATTTCTGATAATAATCAAGTCAGTTCAACTAATTATAAGAAGGTATTTTTAAAATAGTTATACAATTTTAATAATTTTTTTGTGCAAACACTAAAAGTCATCATTTTATAATTCAATCTATAACCTTATTCAAAGATTCTACAAATTTCGATAGTCATTCCGTGTATTACATACAAACTTTCTAACAATTTAGCTTTTTTATCGAAGACTATGTCACCATGTTATGATTTCTTCCTATCTTTAAACTTTAGAAGTCATCAAAGGGTCGGAAATTTCGGTTACAATTCATTTTAGATGCGAGATTTGTTCGGAATTTTATATTAAATTGTATCTACATTTATTTTTATTTTCAAGATTTTTGTTGAATTCATCAAACTTTTATCACAATTTGACATAATTTTTCTAGTTGGAAAGTTACCAGCATCTGATTTACATCATCAGGATATTGTTTCATAATGACACTCTTGAACGATAGTCAATCATGGTTGATTACTTTCGAGTTTTGGATACTTTTCGTTGTGGCACTTAACAGCGCACAAGTATCTCCTTGTTCATGATGTGCAAAAGTGTGAAGCATACAGTATACATTTCATCCAGATTTTCATGTTACACCACGTCGATAATAACTGCAAAATTATGACACATTTGTTACAGTATTTTTACTTCATTCTGTGTTTCACGTTTCATTTTTCTCCTTTTCTCGCAAATTCTACTTGGGCTGGATGAGTATGAAATACGGCCTTACTCCCGTCCTGGTTACCTGGTAGTGACAATAAACTGCACATTATTATACAAGAATTTCTCGAACTTCCAACTTTCTTTCATCACTTTCTTACTTTCTACACATCTTTTTCCCTCTACTTTTCAAAATGATGCACAATGTGTTTCCTTTGGCTTCGTGTAACATGAGTGAAGCTTCTTCGATACATAGATTCATTTCAGTACTACATCTACAATTGTGACATTGTAGATGTTGATGTTTTATAGTTCATACTGCAATTATTACTCGACACAAATCGTACATTGCAACTATTCGCGAGGTCAAATCGGAGGTACTATGGTCGACATTGCCTATCATACCATCAGTTCACTCCCATGTTTCACCTGCATTGGGAACTACCTCCTGCTAAATTTCTCCCTGACATCGTGCATCGTTGAACCACCAACTTTGACGTTTAGAATTGCCTCTCCACTCTACATGGAAGACTTAACTTCCATCCCTCATTCCTCTTCTTTAGATCCACATCGAGGAAGTTGGCCACAACAGCAAGCTTCAAATAAACTTATCATGCGTCCACAAGACATTCAAATTCTCCATGTCGATGATCATATCCAAGTACCCATACTTTGGTGAACATACGCCGTAAGACTCTACACAAACAACATAGCTTCAACACAATCCACAAAGAAGTCACCAACAATATAACAGACCTGGTTCTTTGTCAACAATAACCTAAACCATTTCCTCGTATCGGTAAACAAAAGACATACAGAGGTTACGTACGAATTCAGGTACATAAAACTACATTCTGATTGATTTCGCAGTAACAGCTAAACCTAGTCATCCGACAACTTCACTGCGTTAGATCTAACAAATTTTCTTTCGTTCGCCTCAATTCCTCCACCAATCCTGTAGACTGAGCAACCAGTCTGCAGTTGAATGCACAGAAAAACACTAAGTACGTGTTCGCATCGACTTCGTCGCTTGAGGCAGGCACCTTAGTGCAAAGCAGTCAAAGAGGTACTGAAGTAATAGTAACCAACTTGAGTGACCATATCCATAGTGTGAGCTCACAAATTCATCAGCAACATGGCTAAACTGAACTCTCACGTATCGATAGGCCAACAGATAAAGATACACAAACCGATCATTGCCATTGCTCACACCCTAAGTAGTTAGTCGTTCCTGACGTGCATTGCTACTCTGTACTCTGTACGCTGAGAAAGGCCGATCACCCTGTTAAAAACACAGAATCTAAGCCAACAATCGGTGTAGGAACCAAATTCCCTCAACTCTCAACGAAACATAGGGAATCATAAACCTCTTCCAAGACCGTAACATTGTGCACAGCCAGAACAGCGAATTATTTCCACTTTAGGACATGCCTTTGTTCTTGTTAGCTCGGTTTAAATTACAGGGGCATTCTCGCGTCTCATCCCAAAAGAAACTACGCACAGCCGTGACAGCGTGATCCACTCAGAAAAAAACTACCCTTGCGCAAGTCTTCTACTAGGCTGTACAAAGTGCAATGCACTCCAGGCCTGTTTCCAGCGAGTCAAGATTTCACATTCCCTCAGAATTTCGACGCATCGCTAGGTGGTCCCGAGGACGACTCACCATCTCATCTCATGCTGCTGGAAAAGATAACGGAAGTACTTGAATTCGCCAAAAAAATATTGGGCAGTGTATTGAATTTCGTGAACAACAAAGTCCTAAGTCTTTCTTAAAATACCGTTTAGATAATTCCGATCTTGCTGGCAACATCTAGAGCATCGCAATCCAGTGTCAACCTAACATAGACCTTCCTCTGTTCATCAGGCCTGCAAAACCGTACAGTGACACATTCGAAGACTCAGAAAGCAAGCACAATTAATTCCATCGACATTCCTCAACGAAAGCTCCGACGAATAAGAGATATCAGATCTTTCGGCCATACCTAGCTGATGCTCTACTCAAGAGCAGGGGCGCCCGGGGCGCCTGGGGCACCACCAGATCCGAATCCGCCGCCTCCACGACCGAACCCACCACGACCGCCGCTTGGGCCTCCTCCTCGGAACTCAGGTCTGTACTCTCCTGGTGCGCCACTCTTGTCACCACCACCAAAACCAGAACCCGGGGCTCGGGGAGCACCGCTTCTGTAACCTTCCCTGTCGTTGAATCGGGGCCTGTCACCTTCGAACCTGGGTGGTCCTCTGGGTGGTCTGTCACCTCCTGGGCCACCACCAATAGGCCTGGTTGGGGGCCTGTTGGATTTCTTCAATGTCGCTGGCACAATCTCGGATGGCAAGTTAAGGTAGGTCCTCAAATGCTCAATACCGTCGTTGGTCAAGTACCAGTAGTAGTGCCTCCATGCGAACGACTCCCTAACGTATTCCTTCGACTTGAAGGACTGCATCAGCTTGATAACCTGCAGATTCGGGACATCGATCTCGGGGTGCTTGGGGGCGTTGAAGTCCTTTTTCGCGTACAAGACTCCCTCCTTGAACAAAAACTTGTACACCTCGACACGATTCTTCTTTGGGATCAACATGGCGCAAAAACTTTGCCTGCTGAGCCTCTACGGCGAGCAAATTGGACTCGACAGATTAGGAGCACAAGACGGAGGGAAGAGAGCTCGAACACGAGCAGGAGTGAAAGAACGAGTGAGCGAGCGTTGTGCCCTAAATGAGAAGGCTCTCACTGGTTTCTCCGGTGCCCTAATTGCCAGTGCGAACTAGGACATCGTTCGCGGAACCCAGGGTCAGCCAATCTGACGGCCTCCAACTCCCAGTATCCCTAATCCGTCGGCCACCACGTGCCCCTGTGGTAGACCCTTAACCCACGGGTTAAGGGTCTGTTGGTCGTCCGAGTGGTCTGTTGGCGTGCTCGCTCTCCTCTTCCCGAGGCCTCCACGACGGAAACTCACATCTCTTGCTCTTGCATCTCAGGGCTCCCTTCGTCACACTGCAATTCAGGCCACCGTGGTTGTTCGCAAATTTCCTGATTGTGGTTTGCGTCCACGGATTATTGATACTGCTTTGCACCTAATTCAACAGAGACTGTGTAACAAAAATGCCCCTTTAAGCGAGAATGTCGGGAATTTGCTTTCCTGGTATCCTGGAAATTGAAGTTCTATTGCATCTGTAGAAGAGAAGTGTTCTAGTTTATTGAACATACTGAAAACTACGGAATTTGGTCATGTCTTTCAATTGAGTGAACGATGAATAGTCCACTAAATCGTGAATTCGTGTTCTACTATGGACAGAAAATTACTACCGCAATGTCCCCGTTACATGGTGAGAAGCAAGGTACAGAGGATGGGACTGAAGTAACATGACAGCCTAAATGACTTATCGACTTTTTTAAGCGGATTCTCTTGCTAGGGTGGGCGCTCGACTTTCATTTCCGAGTCTCGTTCTACCGATGGCACGCAGAAAAGATGCCAGCAGCCTCTTCCTCATCGTAAAAACACCGCGCTGATAGTTTAATTTCGACGAGATTCCCTGCGAGCGGGTTCATGGCGACGCTGCTGAGTTTACAGGAGAGTAATTTTATCGTTGATACATCCCAAGAGCATGGCAGCTGGTCGATATATCTTTATGTTTTCAGATTTCCCATTTGTTCGGAAACGAGCCCAAAATTGTGCTGGCAGGATCACCTTCATCCGTTCCAGTGTGAAACTGCAAAATAGTGTGAATTTTGAGATCGGATTGACTACCTCGAGAGCGCTTCTCATTTTGTGCAAACTGTATGTGGCAATCTGTAGTAGCGTAATTATTCGTTGATTTTGGGTCATATCTATATTTATCTGCAAGGTCTTGTCAATAATTTGATTTTTTTCATTCCCTTGATTGTCCAAAAGCTGACAGTTTCTTTGCCTTAGTCACAATCCTCAACATTTTTCAGTCCTATGGCAAGGAATAGGATTATCCGTGATTCTGCCAGACTGTCTACACTTGTACATGATTCGTTTACATTCCCTATACTAGACTTCAGTACGCGAAATTCGTGGCTGCACTTCTCTAATCGCCGGAATTGCCTATATCGCTCGAGATCACTTATGGTGGCTCGGCTCATGGCTTCAGTCACAATCAAGATCAAGCAGAAAAAACACTCCGAGCTAATCTCCACGGATACAATTTCTCATCGTTCTCGATATACAATTTCAGTCGATCGGACACTAATGAGAAGACGCAAAGTACCATTATTTAGATTGGCAATTCTCGGAGATAAACAATAGTAAGAACAGAATTGATACGATGCTTGCGTCAAGAGACTACCACGAATGACCCAGGTGCCAAACATCAGCCAATGAATCCGATACAATGAAAATACGCAAACTCAGACTCATAACTCAGTAGCAAAATTGTTTTCCTTGGCTGCGACATGCTACAAAGGCTCAGGATCGTGATTTCCTTCCAATTTTGGACGTGCCTTTGTTCTTCCTTGCTCGATTAAAATTACAAGAGCGCTTTCGTGTCTCTTCTCAAAAGAAAAGCACAATTAGCCGTGAGAGCATAAAGAACACTCAGAAAAACTACCCTTGCACCAGTCATCTATCAGGCTGCACAAGCGCAACGCACTCAAGCCTGTTCCCAGCGTGTCAGGGTTTCACATCCCCTCAGAATTTCGACGCATTCTCGGGTGGTCCCGAGGACGACTCACCATCTCATACTGATTAAGGAGGACGGTAACACTTAAATTCGCCAAAAAAATATTGGGCAGTGTATTGAAATTTTAGCAACATAGTCCGCAGTATTTCTAATAGAAAGGGGGGAACCATTTAGATAATTCCGATCTTGTTGGCAACATCTAGAGCATCGTAGTCCGATGTCAACCTGACGTAGGCCTTCTTCTGTCCGTCGGGCCTGCATTGTGATAAATTTCAAGGCTTTAGCGCAATTGATAAAATTGAACAGCCCCACATGGTGAAGCAGATACTTCGATCGAGATAAGAACTATAAGCTTCTCCATATGGCGGGAAGAAGGCAATGGTGATTACCTGATCAAGGTGTTGACTTTCTTGGTGTGAATGTCGTACATCTTCTTCACAGCCTCCTTGATCTTCTTCTTGTCGGCTCTAACGTCAACGATGAAAACCAAGGTGTTGTTGTCTTCGATCTTCTTCATGGCTGACTCAGTGGTTAATGGGTACTTGAGCACCTCGTAGTGGTCAAGCTTGTTCCTTGGGGCAGCAGAGATACGTGGGTACTTGGGAGCACGAGCCCTCTTGAGGGTTTTGGGGCGGTGGAAGGTGACAGATGTGCGAACCTTTCTCCACTTCTTCTTGATGACAGCCGTAGACTTCACTGCCTTGGCAGCTTTCGCGGCCTGAGACTTTTGATCGGTCTTCCCACCTGTAATGACGGTTTCGTGAGCCCATGATACGGGAAGAGGAAACCTGGCCAGCACCAAAAACTACTCCTATGCAGCAACCTGATTTCGGCTTCCCTTCGCAGAAAGAGCTCCAATTTTGAAATCTGTAAACCATAGTACAGGCTAGGACGCCTCATCCAATATACCGTAGGATCATAGTTTGACGCTTCACGAGTACGAAAATAGTGAACATTAAGTTCACGAACTTATAAGTGAAACAGTCGAAGTCTCGATTTCCCGACCGACTACCTCATGACTTAGTTTTTCGCGCATAATGCAACGCAGTACATTTCTGATTTAGGCATTTCCTACCCATACAGTGGCATTCCTGCGCTAACAAATTCGGACAAACTTTAGCTGATTCGAATTGCATACCTTTGGTGAGAGACCCTCCCTTGGCGGGTGGAGCCATGGCTATTCGACCGGTGCGGACGACGGATTCGGAGCAGAGGTCGGAGAAGGAGACAGCTCGAACACGAGCAAGAGTGAAAGAACGAGTGAGCGAGTGTTGTGCCCTAAATGAGAAGGCTCTCTCTGGTTTCTCCGGTGCCCTAATTGCCAGTGCGAACCAGGACGTCGTTCGCGGAACCCAGGGTCAGCCAATCCGACGGCCTCCAACTCCCAGTATCCCTCATCCGTCGGCCACCACGTGCCCCTGAGGTAGACCCTTAACCCACGGGTTATCTGAGATTTGGCCGGTTCTGAGGTTTGGTTTGTCCAAAGGTCCTTCAGGAATATGGGCTCGTGTTTCCCGTACTCCACTTTGCGTCAAACCCTAACTCGAGGACAGTGATCGATCGGGATCCGGAATCGGGAGTCAAGTAAGTCAGCCTGGAATTTGGCCTGCACGGGCTGAGGAATTGATTGTAGAGCAGACGCGCAGAGGAACAGCGGGTCAGAGGATTGACGAGGTGCGTGGCAGGGAGTTGGATTCGTTCCCTTGGCATCGAGATCGGAATCGAGGAAGGGTTTAGGATTGCGTATTGGGTTCTAGAGCTTGCAGGAGGAGAAGATGGGCACTCCCGATCACGCCAGGGAGCCATGCCCCGACAGGATTTTGGATGATATCGGTGGGGCTTTCAGCATGGGTGCGGTGGGAGGATCGGCTTGGCATTTCATCAGAGGGATGAAGAATTCGCCCCGTGGGGAAAGGCTTTTGGGTGGATCTCAGGCTGTGAGAATCAATGCGCCGAGAATTGGTGGAAGTTTTGCAGTTTGGGGAGGTTTGTTTTCCACGTTCGACTGCTCGATGGTTTATCTTAGGCAAAAAGAAGATCCGTGGAATTCTATAGCTGCAGGTGCAGCTACAGGTGGTTTTCTCCAACTAAGGGCTGGGATGAGATCGGCAACTCGATCCGCAGTGTTCGGAGGGGTTCTTCTGGCTCTTATTGAGGGTGCGGGAATTATGCTCAACAGGTTAACGGCGAACATGGCTCAACCCCCGCCTTTGGAAGAACCCATGCCTCAGATGAACATGCCTGGAGCCCCGTACGCTACACCGTCTCCTTATTCAGGCCAGGCTACCACTTTCAATGTGCCTGACTCCCCACCGGTACCCGTGAATCTGGGCGCTCCATCTTTTGAAGAACGGAAGCTTGATTCCGATAGTGGAATCGTGCCTCCTCCCACAGACCCCACGAGCGGTAGCAGTGGAGGCTCATCCTGGTGGGGTGGGCTTTTCGGTGGCAAGAAAGAAGAAGAGGGTTTTAGAGCTTAAAGGTATGATTGCATTGGTACTGTACATACAAACCTTGCCTGCTTTGTCGAATGTGAATGTGGAATTTAGGCAGTTATTGTTGAGTTTATGAGCGGCACAAAGTTCATGAGTTTTCTGCGTTTTAATTTGCTCATAGCTTTAGTTAACGAATTTGCATTAAGTGTTTACTGGGTACATCACCTGGTCGCAAGTTTCCTAGCTGTTTCTTGTGAATTACTTCTTGCTAGTATTCTCAGAATGGTGGAAATTTACATTTCACTCCATCGCTAGTGATTAAGTTGTTCAGAGTTTCCTCTGAATGTTTGGTTAGATGGCGAAACATTCAGTTTCACCTTTGTTGCCCATCAGTGCTGCGTCTAGTGTAGAGTGTGACGGGGGATCATCGTGTCTGAAGTAACCTCCACTATTCACCATGTTGTCAAAATTTTCGGGAGCTCTCTGAAGTCACTGTTGATCTGTCTCTTGAAATTTCACAGAACGGCATTCTATGATATCCGTATAATCAATTCACTGATCTCCTTTACGCGAATGGCATTTCGGGACTACTGTTGAATGGCAAACTGTTCCCACTATCAGTCAGCTTATATCTATACCTCATTCCCTCTTTGGGGGGACTGGAGGTTATGTGTTATGTGCTGTGGTTATTTACGGTCCGTGTATACAATTAGGACCGTTAAGAATCTGACATTTCTGTGTCAGTAAAGTGTCCCTTCATGATTACAATCAGTGTTTAATCTCTGTTTACGAGGAGTGGGTAGTATGAATTAAAACATCGTTTGTATTTTTGTGCAGGTTTTTAGTCCACAATTATCTGGAAAATCTCAATCCGGGTACCACATTCTTTTCTTCGACGAGTTTTATCAAACCCAAGTCCTGCCACTTTATGGGCTTCTATATACCGCTCCATACTCTGTACATATGGCATCACCCTCACATAATGTGAGTGGACAGTTTTGACGTCATTGATGTGTAGTTGAGGACACCCAAATTTCAGTGGTGGCAGGTTTGGTGAAGAGCTTCAGAGTTGTAGCATCTAGTTGCCTTACGAAGTAGTGCCCTGGGTTAGGAGTAGTAATCTTGATTTCTGCACGTGAGACAGCAGTGTAAATCAACATGGTCCCCTGCACCGATTGCCTACATAGTTCAGTCTAGCTCTGATTAAACACCACTCTACACACGATTCTTATCGCATGCTCCCTACGGCCTGTCTGGACAAAACAATTGACCATCAGTCAAAGCTTCAGGTCAGGGGAGAGGAGACGCTTCTGCCCGCAGCCTCAGCAGGAGTACAAAGTCTAAGATAGTTGTTGAGCTGCGATGGTCGAAAACTCTACTTTTGCCAGCGTGATTTTTGATCCAAATATAAGCGGTCTTCCAGCATGGAGCATTCGCGCCTAAAGTCTTATAAAGTTCTCACATCCTGCAAAATTTCAGTTGCCCAGCTGTATAAAACATAGGGAGTAACTTACGTGGTTGTTTGTATGTAGTGACTTTCCTCTCTCAACGATATATGTGTTATGGTTCAATTCTGCTCCTCTTAATCGCTTCCGTAATGCCAAGGTTTCTCTCAACAACTGCAAGATTTTGGTTGGCGGGTCTTTTCGTTTCTCTTTACCCTATCAAACCACGGGCAGCGTTCGTAGATTTTATCTTGCATAGACCAACTGTTTACATAATGTTTTCAATTATATGGCCCCAGAGTGTCCTCACCAAATGCAGTATGCATCTCTCCATGCTGCAAGGCCTGCTTACCGATACAGCTTGTGCGATACCTCCGCACTAGGAGACCGTACTTACTCAAGGGATTTCACCAACTTCTACATAAGATATATCATGCCAGCCGACATTATCAGAACGCGAAGAAAGTAACACACTGCAATGTCAAGTGGAGTCCAAAAGGCTCACCAATTGTATGTCGAGGACTGTGCGGTAAAGATCTCTTCAGACCGCTGAGGATGTCGACCAGGATGTCTTGTGAAGAAAGCTGGTAAAGAAAACTGCCGGTCTTTGACTTCTCATTTCGTCCGATAGGAATCCGATCATGATCTCAGTTGGGCCCTCGCCGCGTGTAGCAGGTTCTAAAGAGCTCTTTACAATTGTGACATGTGGAGACTCTGATTGGGTTTCTTTTCGACTTATTCTCTTACCTTGCGACCAGTGCTGGGCGGTGGCGTGACTGGCATCTCCTGTCTACGATTGCCGAAAGCAATCATATTCTATTTGTGTCTCATTATTCTATTTGTGTCTCATTCTGAAATCATGTAAGGAGTTGGAAGTGGACTAGAACATTTGAACGCGCGAACGTTATGGGCTGAATCAACTGACGCAAAGCTGACATTTCTACAAAGGCTCGTAAGAACTTGGATCATCCGATGTGGAATCTTTCAGGATTACTGTCAGCTGCCAATCAAGACCAATTCGCTTTCTAATGACGACGATCAGAAACTGGCAATGGGTAGCAGGCAACACTTTCATGATCAGTCTCACCGAAGACTCGCGAATCATTGTTTGTCTCGAGAGCTGAATCTAAGTTGTTTTCAAGAAAGGCATCCCATTCTCAGATATCCTAGTCAGATGGCGAATTCCGATGCTGCCGGAGTGCAATAACCAGAGCCGTCCGCCAGAGCACCCTTGAGTTCACCGCGCGGTGCGGATGCCAAGGGATAACGAATCTAGACGTTCACTCTAGTGGCAAACGAGATGAGCTCTTGCAAATAATGGGCAGTGAATTTAATGTCGTTTATTTGTGAAGTTGTAGTGTGACACACTGCGAAGGACTTTCGATCTCGGATGCATTGTGAGAACCTAAAGATGTGCCAAATAGCATCTGGGTGAACGTTTGCATCTGTTAGAGCGCTGGACGCTCAAAGTGATGGGGCCAGATGGACCTCGAGTGAGGCGGAAGATCATGAGCGGAAAGTGGGAGAAGCGCCTACATCGCAAAGGAGTGAAGCTTTATGGCACTCGCTGGTGTGCTCTCTGCATTAAACAGAAAGGGTTACTGGCACAGCTTTGCTCCAGTTGGGAGAGGTTCTACGTTGACTGTGATTCCCTGAAAAATGTGCTCGAATCTTCAACTGTGAAAAAGGTCGGACGAGTGAGCTTCAGTTTTTTGCTCGTGCATGAGAAGGACACACTAGATTCCAATTTTCAACTCGCGAGGGTTGCCATCTGAATCAGGAGCTTGGTTGGCATGTGGATTTCCAGATTCCAGCTTGGAGGGTGGCAGGAAAGTGGTACGTGGGAGCACAGTCGGAGGCATCCTTGGAACAATTGGCCAACTCGAGCTGGCAGGGAATGCAGCGGTGGGATGTTGCAGAGTACACCAGAAGGCACAAGAGACGAGGGAAGTGGGCGAAAGAGGAATTTGCAGACATCGTTAAACGCTCTATTTTGAAGTCGAAGGGTACTGCGCTAATTTCTCCTTCATCTGAAACCTCCTCGATCAATCTCACATGCTTTAAGATCGTCGAGCTTGTTTCTCAATTTCTGTACTTCCCGCAATCAATAAACGAATTGTCGTGTCGTCCTTCCACCTGTTGGTTAGTACTACTGTAAGTAATCTTCCTTCTTTTCATCGGGACAGTGACAAATTCAAATCATCATGTACATGATGATCAAGGCGGCGTGTAACCCATCACTAACAGACTCTCTTTTCCTAGGCAGTTGTCCACAGTCCACAGGTTGATATTAGCCCACCATCTGCGGAGGGGCTGAACCATGGCTTCATGGCTCACAGTGCCGCAAGAAACTTCTTAGTCCTCGCGCTAGCTGCTGCAACTTTTACGAAGGAAAACTTCCAAAAGTTTTTAGACGCTACAAACTCGAGGGGTGCTGCTTTCAAGGTAGTCTCAGCGACCTAAACATTTCCATGTGGTCTACAGAATCAGCCTGTTTCGGCAGGTTATACCGAAGCCCAATTCTTCTTGCACCTGCAAAATCCCGAAGGCTCGGGTAAATCAACGAACTTTTAATTAATCGCGGTACTTGGTATACAATGGATGAAGATATGACTGCTCGATATGTTCTTAAACTTTCTATTGAACGACTGAGTGAACATGTAGGCTGAAAGTAGCAGTCTTGGAATGTGGCCCTCCTGACCTCTCTTGACGTGGGTTCCTCTTACTTTTGCAGAAACGCTCGATATCTTTTTTGTGTACAACATCCCATGTGAAGAGTTGTGAGGATCTCAGACAGAGACTAGCTGCTCCTCGTCCCCCGGATCTCGAAACGTCAGAAACGATTGTCAGTAAGGATTGGCGCATAGTTCATCAAGATTGCTTTTCGCCCTCTTGGAAGAACTCAGTTGGAATATTTAGCAGAACATCTGGACTATCCGGTAGAGAGAGCTGCACAGGAAAGATGGCGAAAGAGGAGTCTACCGAGACTCTGGATAAAATGGCTGACAAGAAGGTCGCTCATCTGCACGAGATTCTCGGCTTCACCGAAGCCAATAGGGAAACGTTCAGAAAGCTCCCTTCAACGATCTTGGAAAGCTGGGGTAGTGGATTGCGAAATTTGAACGGAATGATCGTGAGACTCACAGGTGAGTGTTGATGCTAATACTTCCGAGTGCCTCTGTCTATATTCTTATAGCTCCACATTGTCTTCCTTCGACACAAACCAAGATTTGGGATGGGACATCTCATTCTTGGGAGTCATCTCAGCAACTTAATAGACCACGAACACTTTCAATCTCCAGATCCGACTCGTTTTAACAGGTCACTGTTGTTTGCGAATCATTTGATGTATCCCATTAGCATTTGCTGATGATAAGTGGTAATTTCAACATCTTGAGCTTCTTTTGAAGGACGTCCAGCTGTATGTGTTTTGACGCTTGTTGTCTTCCACGATTATCTGGTTTTTTTGAATGAGCACATGAGTTTCTGAGACGGAAAGTATTGGTTACTCGTGTAAGGTTTGGGACTGAATATTGACTTTCAGACATACCAGCGTTGTTAGTTCCTGATATCTCGTCATGAAAGGTTTTACTCGTTATTACTACCTCTTAAACCTGGCAACCATCGAATACGCCCCAGGCCTTGATGGGCTGGTAATACAGGAAGCATTATGAATCCTGTATACCAGAAGCTTTAGGTGTCTTGTATCTCGATTGATCTATGATTTTGCAGCGATGCATGCGCACGCAATCCAAGAAACAGACGAATAGAGAAGAACGATGGGAAACAACCATCAACATTGCCATATCATGCATTCTTTCTAGTTTTGGCAGTCGCCGGGAGCCTAGCACATCGATGAGTATTATAGACATGGATCTAGAGGGAGGGTTGGTACCAAGGCGGGACACTCAGCAGTCATGTTATTTACAACCCATCTAATGAATTCTTATTTTGTTGTGTGCAGGGTCCGCATGTCACTTCAAAGTGACGACTGGTGGAAATTAGGCTTAATTACGGAAATGCCAAAATGAATAATGATGGACTGATCGGAATCCGGTGACGGGTCTCGCAGATTCTTGTACAGAACGTCGGATTCCCATTAACCTGAGCGTTGACAAAGCCTTCTGAGAGATTGTCGAAGACCAATCTTCTTTAGTTGGTTTATGAGAATGTAACATTCCGGCTAGTAGATTTTCTCGAAGATTTTACACTGACCGGAGATCATCGTGTAGTGATAATCATTACCTGAGTGATACAAAAGTTTGTCGATGATCTGGCGACGAGTGTAGGAAAAGTCTAGGTCGACACGTGTCAGATCAATTCAAACTACACGTTTCCCCTTCCTTTGATATTTGCTTATACTACACGTAAGCTTCCTTCTTCTCCTTCTCATTGCTATGTTCCTGAGTTATTAAGTTTAAAATTTACTATTTTACTCGCCTCTCAGGCATGAAACGTTTTCGTTCAAAAGAAATACTCGAGGTCATGTTCTATGTCAGAACAGGAGGCAGCAGCCGGAATTATAAGCTGCTTTCGACCGCAAAAGTTTAAAGAAGACGGCGAGTAACTCCACAACTGATCAACTTTGAAGAGCTGAACATTCTTGGTCATTGGGATTCTTCATGATGCATGATCTCAACCTACCTACTGTTTCTGCATTGTACAAATCGTAGCGTGACATGTAACATTCTCCAAATCTACTTCGGAAATTAGACAGCATTGCATACGGACATCAGACAGCATTGCATATCTTGGTGAACATCTTCTCTTAAGAAAACGGTTTCATGACAATTGAGATACTGACAAAGACGCCGTCCGAACCCATCCACCTCACATTGTTCTACCACTTCAACCCCTAAAACCAAGAAGAGTGATAATGACTCTACAAAGTTCTTTAGTCTAGATTGGCACTTCTTGCACAACCGCAAGGGGCTTTTCCAAGTCTGAGAATTCTGCGAGGAGTTCAGGGTCCCCACTTCTATAATCTAACACTGTGAATTTCCTCATGGTGGTGACATCTACCATCCCAACGCATGACCTAGACCACACCAAATTGGTCTAAAATTTTCATAAAAGAGGATGCGAAGAGGATTGTCAACTTCTTCGAATCTCAATCTCGCCATCGATGTCCACAATTAGGATTGCAGCATACAAAAAACAACGTCATACCTTCCTCTCCTCTCGAGGTTGCCTGCGCGTAAAAACCAACACAGTTAGTCTTCTGGCAAAGTGTTCAGACTACACCAGAAAACTTGCCTAAATCGCTACTTCAGGATGCAAACTGAAAAGAATCCAAAAAAGTGGCTCTCCGATGCTCAAACTTACCTGGAAAAAGACTGCCTCCCCATGCTTACAGTTCGCGCATCTTACTGATTTGGTTCTAGGAAGGGTTGGATCCGATGCGACATCTTGAAGAACCTGAGTGCGTTCATCGGCACTGTGAAGCACTTCGTTGCGATAGACACAGTTATTGTCTGCTACTTCCTGTTACATGATGAAAAGCGAGGAGTGAGCACATTTGCACATCATGCTAAAAGCTCATGACTACCAGCCTATTATTCTCTCTGTACTCTTGTGAGGGACTAATCTGCCCTAGAACAAACATTACCTGATGATCGCAGTTTCGACAGGCGTACAGAAGGATTTTCTTATCTCGATCCTCACGGGGGTACAAAATGTTGTTACTGCAATCCGCAATGTCAAGAGATTATTCATGATGAGCAAGTGAACTACGAAAGGACTGAAGGCTCCAAGTCTAAATTGTACTCTGTACAATCCTGGTCCATGAAGCTACCTCAAAAAACTTCAGTGCAGTGTACTCCATCACACAGGGGAGGAGGTTGATTGACAGATGGCAAATTCAACATGCTCAAACTAATCGTCCGCAACCAATCTGCAGCAGAAGGTGAAGGAATACGACTTATATCATCATAATTTGAAATCTGAAAACTCACCACTCCCGGCAAAATTTCATAGTACTCATGGCTGCAGGTCACGGTGATCCGACAATCTGGTCTACTGGTATCAAAGTGTGAAAATTCCCGGAACTTCCTTAAATCTTCTTTGTCTCTTCGTCTCTTCAGATATTTAAATTGTGGAATTTCGCTACACCATGTGAATCAGTACCGAGGAGTCTACCTTCCAGGTCCACTACCGCACCGCAAAGCTAATGCGAGAAACGACATAGGTGGCAAATTCTTCGAACGAAACAAAGGAGGAAAGAGCTGCTCCTACTGCTGGACGCTGTTATGACAAATGGAGGCAAAAGCTGTTCCTGCCGCAGGAGGCTCTAATTACGGATGGAGGCATCGAACGGAGGATCAATCCAAGATGGCCCAAGTCCGAACAAAACCCTGACCCAACTTGAAGAACTCGTAGACCTAGAGAGCATTACTCTAAATCCGCGCATATATATATATAAAGTCCAAAGCATTCGGATAGAGAGGGAGGGTGAACAAATTTATAGCAAAAAAGGGAAGATACCATCAGGTATTATATAGATAAACCAAAAGTGGTAGGACTGGACTAGCCTCAAACAACAGGACCACTGGTAAATATGTACAACTGCAGCTAAATGTAACACCTCCTCCATTTATTTATTCGTTGAATTCAGTTTCGATATGTCAATAATGAAGTTGTAGTTACTTACCAAAGACTTTTGTATCGATAATAGTATCTTACATCTCATCCAAACTATGAACAACTAGATGGATTGAGAATCTTCTCTTTTCTTTTTCTTATATCACTATAAATTTAACAAATATTTATGTAATCTCTCAACTTCTGAGTTTTTCAATTGACATGTCTTCAGTTCCCTAGTGTTACATATCTCCAACAAAATAATCACAATACAGATGTAAACCAGAAAGTACTAAGACTTCCATCTCAAACTCCTACATCTAATAATAAACATATTGATTTTGCTTATCTAGTCAATATTGTTCTCGTATCCGACAATGATATGCATCAAAATAATCTCTATGCTATTATGAACCCAAGTATATCCAATCTTTCATCTTTGACCCCTTTTACACTAATTATTATCATCTATTGGATCCGCTAATGAATAGGACATGTCATGATAAAGTCATATTTAAACACAATTCTATAGATTTTGAAGAATTAGTGGATGGAAAAAATAAGAATGAAGAACCAATTTTGCGAACCTTGATTATTGATTTGATAAGAAACAGACGGAACATCTTTAATTATGTCGGTGATGTTTCCAATATCTGACTTACTCAATCACTATGTACAGTATCCTCCATCAATCACATCTATGTGACTAAATCATACCTTCAAAGATAGATTGATGTAGCCGGCGGGCATTGCAAATCTCTCTGGACACTCGAAAGAACTGTTTTCGCACCAGAAGTGTAGGGAAGACACTCAAATTTAAAGATGGAACAATCTGGTCGGAGATCAGAACGATAGTAACACATGCTTGGTCGAATATTGTCGTGCAAATCGCTAGTGCTGGTTCGTCCACCGCCTCTTATTCGAGGGTGAGTCACAAGGTACAGCTGGAAGGACGATCGAAGGCCAGGAAGGGCTCGCCATCTCTGTCTCATCGACGAAATCATCCGTCGCCACCGCAGGGAATCCGATTCATGTCAAAGAACTTGAGTCGAAGAAGAAGGAATGAAACAACGAGGTGCAATTAGGTGCAAATCCTAAACTCTTGACGGAGACGGTTGGATTAGGGAGTCCCATACCAAAAGAGAGCCTTGAACGCCAACACGCATACTTTACTCACAACATATGCTCGATTATTACAACTTTCACTGTCTCTCACATCCCATCCTTCCTCTCCCGATGAGCAAATACGCAAAGTACAGACGGTAGCCACAGGTTTACTGATCATCACTTTTACAAAAATTGATGATGACACACAAATATATATTTACGAATTCCAATTAACTTTATTTTTTTAATATTATATTTAATATGAAATTCTCTATTATATCATTCACGTACCATCATTCCTTAAAAATATCACTATGAAAAATATCAAAAGAATTACAAAACAAATACTCACATAGTTTTAAGAGAATTATCTCTCGTGATGAATCCCCATGTTTACACCTTTGACTCAATACTGCATAAAGACAATATTAAAGTCACAATCATAACAAGCGTATCCGAGCGAAGAAAAAAACTATGTTTATCAGTATTGAGATCTAAAGCAAGTATCATCAAAACAATATTTCTTTCATTTACCACTATTTACTTTTCACCCATGCCTATACTCTCAAGCCGGAGATCGTTTGTAACCAAACGATACGTGTTTTTTCCATGTATCTCCCAATTCAGTAGAATGAAAGTCATGACACTCGAAGTACTCAATACCTGTATTATGCATATGGATAGCAACAGACATATTCTTTTTCTAAGGTAGAAACCTATTAGGCAACCGTGCTAAATCTCTTTAGCTCGCAACTTGCGCATCTGTAGATTACATCGAAATCAAAAAAAATCCCGAGGTCATACTAATAACCACCACATTAACAAAAGTCTCACGCTCTTTCCTAAACATGTAAAGATTATATTGCACTTTAGAATTACTTTATCATACATCAAAATAGATAGATTTGATGTATATTGATTGTTTGGACTAAAAGCTTATCAATACTAAATCTCGTAGTAATGTAACTGTAATTGGTTTATAATAAATATATAGTTAAGTTATATAAAATATAGACGTTAAAGTTTTGAATCTAAAGCGTTTCTTTGGAGATTTTTTACCATTATCTTGCTAATTTCAATCAATATGATTATATTCACGATTTACCTTACTTCAATATTTTAATATGGAAAATTTTGTTTTGAAAACTTATTTCTTAAATTTACATTGAAAATCATGTGAATTAATAAAATTAGAAAAAAATACCCAATTCATTGTAAATATGTTAATATATGTGTATTTGATTCATTGATAACGATTTAGCTAAATTCCTTTATATTTTTAAGTATTATTGAATTATTTTCAATAAAAATAAAACAAATTACTATCTTATGAACCATTAACATGAAATGTATAAAATGTTCAAATTTTAAAAATAAAAATATAAAAAAACTTCTTTGACTAACAATCAATCATATGTTCTATCAATAAGCCCTTATATACATAAGTGTGTGTTATATTGAAAAATTAATATGATCTATAGAAAAGCACAGAAAAATAATTGCGTTCAAAATTTCAATATCTTATATGATTCAAAATTTAATATTAAATTTTAATTGATTTTATTAAAATACTACTGTAATGCTGAAGCATTTTTTTCAGATAATGATACAATCAGGAATCAAATTAATTGGATAGGATTCATCTGGAGCAAAGTTTTTAAAATTTATGAAAAAATAAATCTATATTGGATCTGTATTTAAAAATTTTGGCTTTAGTATATTGTACCCAACTATATGTAACATTACCCAATGCTCAAATTATAAGCAGATGAACAAGTTACAATTTTAAATTTTTATAGTATACTTCACTGAAAAACAACTTGTCCAGGCCAAAAACAAAGGATTTATGAAATGAAAATTTTGCCAAAAAGTGTTGTTCATCACATCAGGAAATAATAGAATTTGCAAAGCGTCTATCATAATCATCACAAAGTTAAATATGTGATCCAAAGTTGATCAACAAGTTATGCTGTAATTTTACATATATCATATCAAACCATATCATTCTCTTAAGGTCAAATCTGATATATTTCACTTAGATAAAACCATGATCTCTGCTTTTTTGCCTAATTTTTTTACAATAATGTGTAGTTCACTTCGGAATAGGTTTCAGTGATCCGTATCTTTATAAAAGTTTTAACCAAAAAAGACTACACCAGAAGTAAAAATGAAGGGGATAGCTAAAACTCTGTAAAATCAGCCCAAGGAAGATAACCAATGGAAACAGACTTAGTCTATGTCGAATAGACATCCAGAATTTGTTTTGTTTCGTTTAAGAGAAATAGCAAGTGTTGCACCAAATATTTAAGCTTTCTAACTTATATATAGAGGCAAAAATTCTTAGATATTGTTACCAGTCATCTTTTGCAATAAAACTATGACACCACTGACCCTAATGTAGTGGGAAAATGAAGATTTATATGTCCAATCCATGGAAATTTTTGCACCGCCCACTTGAATTTTATCGGCCTATCCAGAACACCATCAAAATATACAATTCATACGAATTCATACCTTTTGTGCATGGGTGCTTTTCTCTCATGAACGTCATGAGCATCTTAATACGAACATATCCATCACATTATAATATTCGTTCATTTTTACTTCGATTAATTTATCACGTATTTGTGAGGAAAGGTCACTCATAGATGATAATCTTAAGAAATGTATTAATGGAACAGAAGTGAATGGATGGAGCAAAACTATGGACGAATTAAAACGCGCGGTAGTTACAGAAGAAGAGAGTGTTCACCACTCAAGATGTTGATGTTAACTAAAAGTATTACTTTTGCCTCACATGCTACTTTCTCGAAGTGGAGTGAAGTGAACTTCCAGAATCAAATGGTGTTCTCTCACAGAAAACTCTGTATAGTCAAATTTTTGTAACTCAAATTTATGAACAAGCGAACTTGTAAGAGGTTCAAGAGTAGTCTAGAAGAACAAATCTGATGAGTGGAAATTACTGACTGGAAATTGGTTTTCTAATCCTATGGGAACCCATCTACCAAAGAAGAAGATGCTACCTGGCCGTAAACATGACATGGCTAAAGGCTTTAAATCATACAGTGTGAGAAATTGGGAATTATCAATGCTTGAGTAGGGCAAAGGATAGTACTGAAAGCCCATGAATCATATGAGATCCTGCTGACATGCGAAGGTGTGGGGAACATAGAATGAATTCGAACAGTCACATCCGAAACAAATGGCGTACAATAGAATAGGCAGGTCAGGCAGTTCTCCAAAAAGAAGAGCACAAAAGACAAGAAAGGAAGGCGCGCTCGTGCCATTAGTCAGCTAATGGGACAGGACCCAAATTCAACCCTCGAAGCTTTAGATCACAACTGTAGACGGGGACGGGAGCCGTAGTGGCCCGTCGGCTCCTGGCCGCGCCTCGCGTGGCGTGCGCGCGAGAGAAGACATACGCAGCGTCTCTGAGGGCGCCGCGTGTCGGATCTCGTCCAGCACCCGACCACCATCTTGCGCTCCGTGTTGTGTTCTCTTGTTCTTCGTCGCTCTAGCTGCCGCTGCCCCAGAGGCATCAGCAGGAGAAGACTCTAAACTCATTTGGAGCCTTTGGGCGAGCTTTGGCCTTCAGGCGCCAGCTAGAACGCACGGAACGAGCAGGCATTCGAGCCAGCCCCCGAAATTCCGGGCAGCAGAGCAACAGGAAGAAGGAAAAGAAAGAAAGAAAGGGAGGGCGCTCGGAACTTGCAGGAAGTGGACTGGTCATGGGCTCCGGCGTCACTAAGCATTGAACACATCCGTTTACCACATCCTCTTGCGTGACAGCGTCAGATAGAGATTGGTGAGCGGATAGAGACACCAGCCAGACGATACTAGGTGCGACTCCGACAACTCAACTCGACCGAACACCTCCGCCTCTTGTGTTCACAGTTGAGTCGCGGCCGCACTTGATGACGGAGCAGCTGAATCCGTGCTGAACACCCGCCCCCATCAGTGGCCTCAGAGCAGTGGCCTCGGCTGTATAAATAAGAGTCGGGAGGCGGACATAGGCTGCGGGATTGTTAGTCATTGCAGATTCGGTACTCGCGAGATTGGCATTGAAAGCGAGGCGATTGAGCTGAGGAGGAGAAGAGGAAGAAAAGGTGGCCTAGCGAGGGTATCAGCTGCCGCAGAATCTGATTCAAGGAAAGTTTGCTCGGACTGAGGGGCCTGCGGTAAGTTGCCTACGCCGGCAGTTTTTCTGTTCCCAGTCCAACTTTGGTGATCGGGGTAATGGTCGATGAATGCTAGGATTTGTAGAATTTGGTTGACTTGGCTGTTTCTAGTAAATATGTGTGCAGTCCGATCAGGAGGAAACCTCCTGATCGGACTTCCTGTCACTTGGTCCATTTTATGGATGCAACGTAAACTTTTCCAGGATCTAGAGACCACCGATGATTGAAGTAGTGTGCTGGTCGATCGGCTCGCAGGGCCAGCTCTGAGCGTGGCCGTTTGATTCAAATTCACGTTGGTTTAGAAGTGACTGAGATTCGCCTATCACTTGCGATCAATAAACCTGATTCAAGTATCCGTCACATTTTAGGAAACACATCCAGAGTTGAACCTTTATTTGACTGTTAGTGAGTAGGCAATCGAAAATAATGTTCGCTGCAGTAAATGTTCGAAGGGCAAATAGAGGTCTATAACAGGACTTTCAGGCTTAGAGTTTGCTGGAAAGTTTTGGGAATGATGGGAATAATAATACTAGAGGATAGATGCAAACTCCTTATAGGGGATTTTTTGTAGAGATACATATTTCTACATATGTTCATGACAATCAATTTCTACAATGGATATGAGGCAATTTATTATGACTTAAGCAGGACTAAAACTACCGTCATCATTGGCTTTTGGGTTCTGGTTATGGAATATTGAATTCGTTTGCACCGATTTGGTCAACGCAGGTAATAGAACTTTTGAGATACAGAAAGCAAGCATGGAGAAAACCAATGACGTGAGCGAGCAAATTAAAGGTGTTGAAGATCCTCTTCTCGTGAAGTCTATGGAGAAGGATGTTCTAGTCTCAGACATTTCAGGCACAACGAAGGAACTTGAAGATGAAGGAGAAATGTTCGTCATGGTTGGAGCCGAAGTCGCCGATTCAGCGAACGAAATAGCGAAGGAGCCCAGAAAAGGTTCTGGCTTGGTTTCGATCCCGACAATTCTTGAGAAGGAGTTGCATGAACTTCTAACAAACAACTCTCCTGGAACACAATTGGTATGTCCTTTGCTTTCGTAAAAGAGTTGTCTGGATTTCTAGAAAATCACTTTCAAAATATTTCTATTTTGACAAGATCTTAATCCCCACAATCACAAATCTTTTCAGTCGATTGTGTGGTCTTTTGTTTGTTTTACATGCGGAATCAGGAGTCGCACTTCCTTCCCACCCACTCTCAACATTTATACATCATGAAAGAGTCATCATGGACCAGTGGAGATGAAAAAAATTTCCCTGTTTATGTTCCACCTTAACTATACCTAGTGTGGTGCTTTTTGAGGCATTATCCTTATCTTGGATTGACTGGGTTATAGTTCAATCTTTTTTCTTTTTTTTCAGGTTTTTATAAGTTTATTAGTCAGTTTTCGATTTCCTTTTTCCATCCTGTCATTTATATGCAGTCTGTCCACTTCACCAGCTTCATTATGATCTTCAGTCATGTGGTTAGACGATTTCGTTTGCAATGGTCAAAAGTTTGTCACAATTTAAGTTGCATGTCATGATTAGTCTTTTATCTCCTCGATTTTGGTTCTGGCAGTTGGTTTTATTCCTCCATCGGAAGTATACAGGACACAAGTGGGTTTGTGTTTCTAGATGTCCACTTTGTCTTTAGGTTTTTCCGGAGATTTTTCACCTGTGGGTCTTCATTTCTAATATGATCTCTAAATCTGAGAAACACGTCAGTTACCTAAGTCATTGAGATGAGACCAATTTAATTATTTCTTCTTGACCTCCCCTTTAGCCAGTTCTATTCAATTTGAAGCTCATGTTGCGTAAGATGATGCTAGGTTTCCGTGTGTTTTGAAGTTTTTTGTCAACGTGCTTTATTATTTCACTTTGAGATAAGTTTTCTTTCATAAGTAAGACTTGAAATATGTAGGATGTCAGGATAGGCTTTCTGTTTGTTTAATTAAGGTTTTACTATGCATTCCTCTTTTGAACCATGGTCTGTTCGTATACCCGTATACAAACTTGCTCAACTCACTGATTAATGTTCTGTTTGTGATGTTTTTTGGATCAAATTCATTGCATTCTCTGAGTGTGTTTCAGTTCATTACGGATCATGTTATTGTGATTATGCATGAGATAAATTACTAAAACTTGATCCAAGTGCCAACCTTAGATGCTTTAGTTAGACATTCAAGGGGCGTCTGAAGTAAATGGACATAGTTGTTTTGCTTTCCTCACCTGCATTCTGTGGATCAATCCGTCAGTAATCTCTCACTACAGTACTTGCAAACTGTTCAACAAACTACCAAATTTGTTTTCTTTATATGTGAGACGATGCCTGACTGTGGCAATTAACTGCTTTGAGCTGCTCAATACGAATCCATACTTTAAGAATGCTCTTTGTAATCAGTTATAGGAAATGAGCTTAGTAATTTGGCCCAACTGTATCATATACCTATATTTACTTCATTTACGCTGAGTCATTTCATTTTTTTCCTTGCAGTATCCATCCAAATGCAATGTTTGGTTGTCAAATATCATTCTCTTCAGTAATAAATTCTCAACTAGAATCCTTCGCTGGTGGATGTGTTAGTGAAGGCCTTTCGCGATGACACATGAATTTTTCAATACGCTTAATCGTTCATGGGAACGATTTATACTATACTGGAGATTATGTTTGTTGTTACATTTTTCTCAATTTTTACTTCTTCACGTCCATGTCACCTCGGCTTCCCCATCTGCTACTACTAACACCGCTCTGCCAGAAGCGAGCTTGATCGTCTTCAGCCGACCATAGCAAATTCTGATAGCGTATAACCATTTGGTTAAAACAAGCTGATGAGTTTTATCTACTTCATTGACAGGAGGTATCAGATGGGACCTTGAAGAAAGATGGAAATGGGGATGAGAAAGCAGTGTTGCCCGAGAAAGTTGAAGAATGCGTAGACATGAAAGAGAAGAAATTCGGATTTGATGCTGAAAAGAAGGAGAAAACGGAGAAGGATGATGGGTCCGAGGGTGACAAGACGAAAAAGGAGAAGGAAGAGAAGAAAGATGATGAATCGGAAAAGAAAGAGAAGAAGGAAAAGAAGGAGAAAGGGGAAGACTCAGACAAAAAGGAGAAGAAGGAAAAGAAGGAGAAAGGGGGAGATTCAGACAAGAAAGAGAAAAAGGAAAAGAAGGAGAAAGACAAAAACAGCGCAGACGGGAAGAAAGATAAGGAAAAAGTCAAAAGTGACAAGGAAGGGAAGGAGAAGGAGAAAAAGGAGAAGAAGGAGAAGAAGAGCAAGAAAAGCAACGTCGAAAAGATTCAAAAGAAGTTGGAAAAAATCCATGCCAAGATGGATAGAATTCTTGCAAAGAAAGAAGAATACCTGCAGCGGCTTGTAGAAGCTCAGGAGAAGGATCGCCAAGAAAAAGAACGTCTGGCTGCGGAAAATTCAGCAAAGCAAAAAGGCGAATCACCTACAACCGTCTCTTCTTCTATCGACAGACACGGCGATGCCAGTACAGGAGGAGATGTGAGGGAGGCCGAAGTAAAGCAAGTGGAACCTCCAGTGCACATGAGTGCAAAGCAGCTTAATGAGGAAATGCCCTCTCCTCTTTCTGCTCCACAAGAAGATATCAGTAATAAGGACACCAAACTTCCAGAGGAGAAGTCGTTACAGAAGGAGGTCATTTCTGAGCAATCCAAGAAGGAGCAGGTAGAAGACGTCAAACATACCTCGGATTCGGTTGCTGGGCATAACAATGGAGAGTCGGGTGCATTAAGCTTTTCTGCTTGATCGTGCCATCTGAGATTACACCGGACAGGTACCTTGAACTTGTCTCTATTGCCTCCTACGTGCCAAATGGCAAATTTTATTCGGCAGGTCAAGAATGGAGTGAACCGTTCACCAGCTGTGGCGTAGGAAGCCTTTGAGATATTCCCCACACATTCGTCCTTGGAGTCGCGATCTATCGCCACGAACTCAATGCGATCAGGTACAGATGGGAAGCGTGTAGATGTTTCTTATCCAAACTAGACTTAGATAAGATTTTGACGCAAATGATTTTGAGGTTGTCTGGATATGTTCTACAAAGTGCAGATAGTGAGGAGAGAAAGTATATGGGTGAAGCTAAATTGGCAAGAGTTTACTACGGTATATTTTTCATCCATTGTACAAGATGGTATGTATGGGACATTTCAAGGACCCCTTTCGAACGAGCAAATGTTGTTCGAAGGTTTCGAGTGTAAAAAACTTCTGACTCTGTACCAGGCTTTGTAAATCCGCCTCTTTACTCCCGAGAGCGAAAACGATAATCCGTTCCTTCTACACTCTACTGCCGTTCGGAATGGCCAATTATGAAGGAGATTTCTGATTGACTTTTTCTTATTCTATTTTTGCCAGTTTTGTTGGTTGCTTGCTGGTTTATTAAAATTCTGGACTTTTTTTTCGACATTCTCGACTCTGTATGGAGAAGTCAAATATTGAGGAGCTTCGAAATAATGCCTTGCTCATGTACATGTACTTGCCAGTTGTGTAGGTTTTCGGTTGAGGCTTTGATACCTTGGGCTTGCTCTCAAAGCAACCTGTTATGCCAGTGTTTTTTGTTGAGTTGAAGGATTTGTGACGTTTTTGCTATGGCTGTCATGCCGAGCACATTTGGCATAACTCTATGGAAGCAGTTGAGTGTCTTAACATCTTCACAGCATTCACCTAAAGCTTTTACCTTGCTGTCACAAAATGTTCTTGCATGGTATTTTTTTGATATCACCTTGTGAGGATTCATCGTAAAACAACTCCATTCTGTCTATGGGAGTAGCGAGTACCAACTGGAATGCTGTCGTCCTGGGCTTTGTCAATGCTCCAGTTCTGATTATTTCTCCAGTTCGGAACATTTGAGGCATATTTACTACATTAGACAAAGCAGTCATCACGACCTAAGGTTTTTGAAAAGTTGGTTTATGATCCAACGACTATTAATCGTCAGAAGTTGATACGTGCTGTAAATGTGACAAGTGGGCAGATGACGGAACAAACAAATTCCATGACAGCGAGAGCTGAGTATCAACGTCCCCTGCCAAATAGAGGCTAGTGTGCTGTGTTGAGTAAAACAGTCATTGCTGACATTTAATTGTTACTCAGAACTATTCTTGAGTTTCCGATTATCATCATCGATCAGTTTGATCATGCAACGTGATATTCGAACAAATTACAGATATCTGCAGTGAGTGAGCATCATCTGTACTCACGTGGAGGGTTTTTCTCAGTAGGTTGCGTCAACCAGTTACGGAAGTTTACGGAACGTCGTGATTCTTGCTCTTATTTTGAAAGTTTTTTCTCTGAAGTCAGCACTCTGTTTGAGACCTAGGACGATGCGAAGTCGATGCCAAGCGCGTGAATGATCTCGTATTCTGCAATCTTCAGTCAATTGACTCAGAGAATTGTGAGCAAAGGAAAGAACATCACATGTTCCGAAGAGTCTCGGCTGCGTGAGACGGGCTTTTATATAGCAGTGAAGACAGAGTGCATACCTCTTACAAGTATGGACGGAACTGTAGTCACCGACCAGGAGAATATACGCTGTTACCTGCTGTGCAAGACTACTCTGTCATCTTGAGGTATCAGGCAAGTGGAGTAGAATTTTAACTTTGTTTGCATGGTCCGAATATGCTTCAACATTGAAAGTCAACGAACAGTGGTTGAAGCTGGAATTGCACATCACTTTTTTCATTGATGTATATTTGAACATTTCTCGTTGACAAATTCTTTGAAGGATTTGTGCAGCTTGAAACTTATACTAAACATGCATGCTTAACAAAAGTATTATATGTCGCATTCGCTAAGCACTTCTGACTTTCTCAATTTCTTTCTGAATTAATTCATGAATATTCTTATTTCCTTAACTGAAAGTAAGATGGATAGGCACATGAGTATAGTATATCTAAACCCGTGAAGGTGCCGGACTCCATCTAGGGCTTGTGATAAAAACTATTCCAAGTCATCTTTAGAAACAAGCAAGGTTTATCGTACATTACAAAGTTTTCTCACTACAGCAAAGGGGGTTAACCACGTTGTTGGATCAATGACAAAACCCTTTCACCAATGTCATTCGTGAAATATGAATGATGCCGTTAAACCGTGCCCACGCAATAGCAATGAGATTGCAGGTTTTTGCAGGTATTTGCATGAACAAATTATTGAGGAATGCCTCAACTCTTGAGCAAACTGAGTAAAAACGATTCGAATCACAATCTCCTTTAAACAAGTGATACCTGGAGGTTTCTCATCTGATATTAACATTTTATGTTTTATTCCTCTAAGATCCAGTTTTATTTGTGTCAAAACTACACAAATACGTACCGACGAAAATATGATAAAAAATTAACATCACTAGTCTTAAGTTGACTGAAGTAACGATTGCCAAACCGCATATTTCACGTTGACATCATGTGCCAAAGACAATGTGAAGTACAAATCACGACTTTGTGATTCTTCGACTTTGGATTGATCAATTATAGAAACCATCATAATTTTCCACTCGAGTGGGAGTGCCTGATTAATAGACTAATCTACTTTGTTCCTATGTTCAGGGATATTTGCTTCAGTCATCTTGAAGTAAATATATAGTACTTCGTGCTTTCGGTTAAACCCTATACGCCCACTCAAGCCCTGAGAAGTATGTTTCTAAATAATGTAATTTTTTTCCGAAATTCTCCTTACAAGATATTTATCCTTTCAGCTAATGAACATCTGATCAATCTTTTCAAGGTTTGTTTTGATTTGCTGGTAGATCCATAATGTTACACTTTGGAGAATATTATCGGTGTCATAAGGCCATGAAGCAAGGCCCCATGCTATGACCCTAGACCAAGAAAAAGAAAGCAAAAGTACACCACGTACAGTAGCATGAGTATTAAAAAGTTAATATGCATGAAATGAAACATGGCGTGATCCATACAAATCAAACAGAGAAAACGCCAAGAAACTTGCAACAACTTAACCTAACAAAGAACAACATGAAGAGAATGTTGATGTTTGACAAATCTCAGCAGAAACGAAGAAATTTGAACCCCAGAGTATGCTTTACAGTATTTACTTCAATGTATCTCGTTCCTTATTTATGAGGGAACAAAAAGCATGGATGCCATGATCGGGTGTCAACATCCCTCCTCATGCAAATTTTCAGTTAATGGCGTTATGAAATACAAGTCGTGGCAAATAGTAGACTGGTGACTAAGTACTGTATATTGTTCTAGTTGGGACCAGACGAATAGTATTTCCTGTGACAGATGTCTCGAAGTCAACTAATTCCAACGCAAACGTTCAAAACAGCCGTGACGCGACGCCTTGGAGCTTGATGCACTGTCTGAAAATGTATGGTATCTGAATACTGTTGCTCCTTGGAACCATGCAGTTGTGCCCTCTAGTCATGGGTTCTGTCCAAGCCGGTTTATCAAAATAATGTCGAACATCCTCCATTCAATGTTTCGCCTTCACATATTGAATCCAAAAATTCGATTGCTTCGTGATACTGCCAACCACGAGCGTTTTGTGCTGCCGAAGGAGCATGAAATTGAGCATCTTGCCACTCAAGCTTTCCGTGTCATGTCTTCTTTAGTCACACTCTTTCTCAATCAGCTCCTCGCTTTCATATTTCACTCCACAAGCATAATAGCTATGATCTCGAATACTTTGTCCTCCATGTTTCTTCTCTGTTGGCATCTACGTGTTAGTCAACTCAATTAGATAAGACTATGCTGGATACTCAGTGAATGAAATGGTTTCATCCATGCACTACTTGATGGGGTCTTTCGATTATCCTTTTTATATTACTTACTCCCCAGGCCTTTCACCAAATGAAAAGAGAGGGGTCTCTGAAAATAAAAAGACCCTGACGTTAAAGGTTATCTACTTGCAAGTCCATTGTAACGTTCAATTTTTAGTACACATTTTTTGGGCTCTACCTCTCAGAAATAGCAAAGTTAACTTAAAGGAACTTTGTATGTTTTCTTTCATACTTTATCGATAAGGTTTGATGCTAAGGGTGAAAAAGCTCACTTCATTTTTATTTGACATTTTTTTAACGAAGATTTAAGTGATTAAGGCATACATCATATTGCTATACTCATATGTTTTACTCTTCCATCATTATATGAATAATTTATTCATAATGCTACATATTCAAGGTCTCAAAAGTATCAGTAATTCAATTGAATCTTTTAATGGAGTACGACATAAAATATGACAGAAAATATTCAATATTCTAAAGTATGATTGGTCAATCTTGATGAATATGCGTGGAAATCACATATATACAACATAGCTTTCAAAATATATCAAGTACAAAGATGTAACATGTATAATTAGTTGATATTTTTCTTCATGAATAAAAAATTGGATATGAATAACCATGGGAGAAGACGTCAACTGTTATATTTCCGGGTAATAAGGCACTTGTGACTTGTCTATTTTCTCAATTTATCATGACAAAGAGGACCATCCTTAAGATAACGCACTGAATTTCGATGAGTATCCAGGATTTCACATGATTTTTATGACGGAAAAGAGATGTTTTATCACTGTAGGTTGGAACGATCTCCTTTCTTCCTCTTTGTCTATTGACTGGATTTAACACATGTTTTTCTTCATAGATCATTATTCTATAAGCATTATCTAAAGTTTGTTCCTATACTTTGACCAATTCTCTTAGCATAATGACTTAAGAGATATGATGTTTGCTCTCAAAAGAGAGAATGTATATTTCACATGAAGAATTAGCGTGGGTATGACATAAGTATATTTTATTCAGAAAATATAAGTTATTGTTGTTGAATACAAATCGTGATAAAATTTTGGAAGGGATCTATACCTCTCCTCGTAGAGAAAGGCAAGTGCAGCAATATCTCGCAGTGTCTTCAAGAAAGTCTATCATAATAGGTAATATTGATATGACTCTTTTTTGCTTACTGTAATCATTATGTACATATTAACCTTTTCTAATTGCCATATATGACACGAGCTGATGCACACCAATATCTTATAAATTGCATAAACATAAATTTTATGACGCTTCTTTGGATGCTCATGTACACTTGACTTAGCAACATGTTGATATAGCCAAGCAACATTTTACTACTACTTCTTTGGTTTTAATTTTAGATTATTATCTGACTCGGTCTTCCCATCCTTTTACTAAATAAGGGTATTACGGTATTTATCTAGAAGAACTCGAGTTTTATTATAAGTAGCCGAGATTTGTCCCTTTGACTTACCCATCACCTAAGTTGGCAAGAAGATTTGCCAGACAGTTCTGCTTCGAGTTGGCATAAACAGTCCAACTTGGCACCTATATTCGTGCAAACCTACTTATGTATCGGCGAATGTTCACAACGAAAAAGTATTTACCCAAATTAGAACGTCACAGTTTGAGGCTTCGTGCAAAATCTTCAGTAATTTCCCTGAGTACATAACTTACTAGAATTGGGTCCCAACTTTGGATCAAATGATTTACTTTTTCTCTCCCGGGATATGTGAAGGATCCAGTCAACTTCAAGTGCTAAAGTTTTGCTCCGACTGACTTAATCACTTCCCATCCTACCCGGCGGTGAGTACGTAGGACCTATCTAGTAGTGAATATAAAATCTTATATTTTTACATTGCGAAATGGAGTCTATCAAAAGGGTAAGAAAGAAGAAGTAAATAGCCAATTCCCGGATACAATTGCTGCACATCCAACCTACCATCTTCAAACTTGAGTCTGAGTTGGCACAACGATCCGAGTCGGAGCACCTCGGTAGCACGTAGGTGGATGGAAATGGAGAACTACCGACAACTTCCCTTTTGGGCAGGGAATTTGGATGGCCCCTTTTGTCGCTCTCCATCATTACTAAATAAAGTCGGTAACCCAAGAAGGTTTTGTCTTCACACGAGCTGCAAAAGTAGCTCGAAGATCTTTCATCGAAACCGACCCATCAAGTGCTTTGCATGGATGGCGAACTAACCTCCAGCTGCTTGACGTCTTCCAGTGTTGCCAAAGCGTTTATGCGGCTCAGAATGTCCCCAACATGCACTTCAGTGAATCTTTGGGACATTCACCGAAGTGAATGTTCGGAAATTCGTGGGTGAAAGTCGAAGCAGTGGGAGCGCAATCTGAAGGGCATGACTTGTACTGGCATCGTGACCGGCCACTTCCAAGGATATGCCATTCTCGTCCGCGTCAGTCGAGGCGTTTACATGTAACCCTTCGGGATTATCTTGTGAGGAGCATTGAAGTCTCGTCGACCTCCACTTTGGGAAGGTCAAAGAGCTAGGAAATTATAGAGCCGAGGTTCCCTATTCCTCGGCCTAGAATCGAACGAGGAAGCCTGAAAAGGGATCTGCTGCTGTCGTGTCATAGTTGCACATGCCCTAATTCTCGAAAGGGGACCAAGTGGACAGACACCGAAAAAGATGGGAAGACCCCATCAAGCCGTCATCAGGCCTAACGGAGATTCGAAATTCCACCCGCGTCGTTTTTCTAATAATTTTCCACAATGATTGCCTTGTACAAGACTCGATCGACTCTTTCCCAGTTTTGCACCAGACTCTGTCCAAGTTTGCTGGGTGATCGATTTGCTCCATGCTTGTCGGTCGGCAATGCGTTCACCAAGATTGATGGGTGGAACAAGAAAGACAGTGAAACGGAAAGGGGGCGCCGCACGGGATAAGAAGCACGATGGCCGGATGAGAAGACCAGAGAAATTGGATGTTAATCGATATACTGTAATTCTTGGACATCAAGGTTGCCAGACCGAACCGGACCGGACCAGACCACCCGTGTGCATCCAACGGTGGGTTACCATTATGCACCGGGATATCGTTCGATGTCATCGAAACGACATAAAATGAATATATATTCAATAGACCTTTCCTCGCATGCACCGGAAGAAAAGTCCAACACTTGCCCTCGACACATGTTCGTCGTCTCCACGCTAGAGCTGCTTTAGCTCACTGACTTTCTCGAGCAATCGCAGAAGGTACTTACACGAAGCACCACTTAACCACAAACATTGCAATAAAGCATGCATAAGTTACGAATTTCGGTGTCGGGTATATCTTCCGTCTTCGCTATCCGATCTGCGCCAGGCAAGAACTCACCGTTTGTGCCGTGTCGAGATCCATGGCAGAAGTTCAGAAGGAAAAGGTCCGAGACGACAGAAAGACTCGAAGACTTGGCAACGGAAAACGAGCGTCCCACAAGGGCTACATTCTTGCACGACGGTGCGCATGCCGTGGAGCTGCGGTCGCAAGCTTGCGGGGCAGGGCAGGGCAGGGGAGGGCAGCGCCTTTCGAAGGGCACGCCACAATCAGGAGGAGCACAGAAGACGGTACATGCAGTACGGCAGGGCCTGACAGGAGGGAGCAGTGAAGGCAGAGGAGTCAGCAGCGGTACGGAGGAAACAGGGAAGGGCCTTGTGATTTCTCGGAGGAGGAGGAGGGCCTTTTGCTCGTCGAACGGGGGATGGTGGGAGAGTTCATAAATGACAGGAAGATCCATGTGAACACACCTTCCAGCACACAAGAGCAATACAAGGACTAAAATAATATTTCACCGCAGTAAAGGAACTCGGGTTGCAGGCTTTTGGGCGATGAGTAAAGCGACCCAGGGCCGTAGATCTCACTCCTCAATCGCAACGCATCGTCCGCCTGCTCGCTTTACTCTGGGGCGAGTCTAATTGATGGGCCCGCCGACGGCTGGTGGCAAGGCATTGGTGCCACAGAAAGGAAAGTCTCTCGTGGGTCTGGATTTGTATTGGCACCGGCGACCGCGGACCATCAGGCCAGGGGATGAACCATTAGTACCGCTGTGCTATTATGTTACTGTTGGGATTTGTTTAAGCGTTTTCTGCTTCGGTGGCATTGCGCCATTGCGCCCATGCTTTCCTCTCCTTTCGGGTCTGGAATGGGATCTCTCCTCTCGCGTCTCGACTCTGTCACCGTGCGCGAAAAGAACACCGCGAGAAAATCACGCCCATACAAGAGGAGCCAGGAGTAATTGGTTCGCATCAGGACCGAGAATCCGGAGTGAGCTCCAGCCTCTAGGCGCAGCGGGCTGCTTGCGATCCTTGCGAGTAGGGCAGCGGGGCAGGAACCGACGCCATCAGTCTTCAGCTCCGACGTTCTGATTTGTTGGTGTTGCTGCGACGGAGAGAGTGGCAGCGAGAGGAACGATAGACTTACGATGGCTTCTCGTTGTTGTGTCCTGTCCTGTGCTTGCGGAATCGCCGTCTCCTTTTACGAGTCTCCTCTCCTGATGATCTTTGCCGGCAGCCCCGTTTGACTAACATTCTGGATCAGCTCAGTGGTGCCGAGGGCTAAATTGCCGTGGCAACTCTGAGTGGTGTAATTTTAGCTCTGTGGATGTCACGTACCTCCTAAATTACAAGAAGGCGATTTTTGAGAAAAGACGGGGAGTGGGAGAGGGAAGGAGGCGCCAAGCAGTTGCTCGGTTTGTGTCGGTGTTTTGTCGGAGGGTTCTCGTGACTGAGTGGTGAAGCGCTTTTTTGATGGACAAAAAGCCTCTTATTATCCCTGGCGATAATCGACTCGACTCGTCACAGAATTTGCATCACTCTGTGCTCGTCGGAGCGGCGCATGAAATGTTTCAAAGTGGTCATGGTCTTGGGACTTCTTCAAACATGACTCCGGGCTCCATGTGCAATCTTCACCCTCCTTTGAGCTCTTTTGGTGCAGAGTCCAACTTACACGAGCTGCTCGCACACGCCAGTCCTCATGCTGGTTCTCATGCGCAATCTCTGAACCACTCTTCGAATCACCCTGCAGACTTTTTGGCCACTCTGGGTGATGGAGTGTTGGGTGAATCCAGTGACAATCATATGTTCCACAGGCAGATGGAGTTTTCAAAGCAAAAATGGACGACCCCTTCCAAGCTCACGCCGGGTCCCTTCTGGATGCTGCCGCACCATCTCGATCCAGCAAACTACCCTCTTCCCGGACTTGCTGTCAGCGGCACGAGCTCCCCAAAGACCAATGTTGGCCCTTCTGCTGGCGAGGACTCCTCTAACCCGAACAGACAGGTGTGGTGTGAAAGGGGTGCGAATCAAGTTCTAATGAAATCAGAGGATAATGTGGCTACTCTGAAGCTTCCGATGGTCGTCAAACCCGACAGGTCGCTGCTTTGTGATGGCTCCGGGGCTCCCGTGGATTCACCCAAAGGAGCGAATGGCAATCTGATCAACAGGGATACCTCTGATATGGATGCCAAGCAGCTAGATTCCTCCGATTGCAGTGATCATAACATGGATGAACAGGAGGAGAAGGATCAAGCAACACGAAACGGAGCCGGAAGGACGGTGTCCAAAAATCTAGTCTCTGAGCGGAAACGAAGAAAAAAACTCAATGATGGTCTTTACACTCTGCGTGCCCTTGTTCCGAAAATTAGCAAGGTTCTCTTCTGTCCTCTTTGCTCCTGATGCGTTTTTGTGATAGTTTCCTCTTCTAAGGGCTATGCACTGACTTCCTGTAACAATCGAGATGGAGATGATATGTCGTCTCCTGTGGCCCAACGGATGCTTATGTCTTTGGTAGCGCAACGGCTCTCACACTGAGCCTCATCGTTGTAAAAGTAGAAACTAGACTTGTTTCAGTACTAAACAAATTCTGAGCTTCCAAAAATTCGTTTCCTAAATTTTCTAAATTTCACAGTTCAGATTACCAGTAGTCACTATGGATAATAAATGACCCCCTCAGATGTGGTTCGTTCAATCTTTCAAGGAAACATGCTTAGAAGTTTCCATTTGCCTTTGTTTAGTTAGTCATTTGCTTTTATGGGATGTCATATGTCGAAAACTTGCGGTGAATCTCTAGAAGAGTTGTTTACTACTTGTGGAAGTCAGAACTTGTTGTAGATGGTGTAAAGTTTCTACCATGTTTTCTTATTGTTTGTTAGAACTCATGTTGTCCACCAGTCATAAAATAAGAAAGTTTTCACCCAAAACTTCATTTGTCTGCATCAACTTCAGCCTTGTTCCCCAGTACCCAAAGTTCGTCACCATATTAGGATTTAGAGATACAGCATTCTCATCACTCTTTAGCTCATTTCTCATTACCTTTATGGTCAGTCCGATTATCGTGGCGTCAATAATATACAGTGAGTACTTGTCTTTAGTCTCCAATTCGTTCTTGTTATCAATCTTGCTGAGCTGGATTTCTGGCATTTGCAGATGGACAAGGCATCAATTGTGGGTGATGCTATTGACTATGTGCGCGAGTTACAAAAGCAGGTTGAAGAGTTGCAGGCTGATATATCTGACATTGAATCAACCAAGCCTACAACCGGACCTGGAGGTGAAGCGTCATTATCATCTGTGGCAGAGCCAAGTACGGCTCAGGGTTCCACAGCTCCATCCAGCGGTCGTTCTTGGGAGGAAGAAGGCCACAGAACGTCTGAGGGTCAGCCTCGTCAAGAAATGAGCGAAGCTCCGTTTGAGGATACAACAGAACAGAAAATTCTCGAGGTAATTGTTATCTGTCAATACCATGAAAGTGATTCTCTATGCTCAGCTCGATGCAAATGCAATTACCGGGAGGCATTTGCATATGCAAATGTCTCCTCGTCTTTAGTAAATTGCCTAACTACATGCATGTGCATATACGGTCTTCGGAGACGTATTACTTTATTTTGTACTTCATTTTTTCACCCGAAAATACTCTTCGTGTATGACTTGCATTACTAACCTTATAGATCCGTTTCACATCCAGACGTGAATGTTGGTAAAAGCATTTGCATATGCATTAAGGTCCATCCAATAGTCTTTTTCTTTCTCCGTTTATGTGCCTGCGTTCCCATTACTTAAAAACCGGAACGTGCTCCAAGTGATCTATGTTTGTCCTGTTTCTGAAGTTTATGATCATCCCAAATTTACAATTTGACATGCGGTGCTTGTGAAATGTAACCCGATTCATCATGAATAGGAAGCTTAGTGTTATACATCTAAGTGCTTGTTTCAGAAACTGTGGTGGGTCTTAAACTGCCTTATTGCTAACCCTTGTCAAACCACTAAGCAAATAGAACAATACCTACTTGCATGACTGACATACCATCCTACTCCTCTGTCCTCATACTTTTCCTTGGAGGTCTGGTTTTTGATTATCATTGAATTGTGCAGGAGGTCTATGCTTCAGTCTATCCATTACCTATTGCAATTGGATATATGTTTTGGAGCTTTGGACAACTTTTTAAACAGGACTGTTTTTGCACAATTCTCTTCGTGATGAAGATAATATGTAAACTTACTTTGAATATAACGCTGACAAAGTCTGCTCTTTGGAGCACACAACACGACAAGTTCTTCCCTCACCAGGTAACCAACTTTGGTATGTGAAAGATCTCAGTACATTTACCAGTACTGATTCTGACACACCATTGGTTACAGTTGGATGTTGCGAAGATGGAAGAGCAGATCTATCATCTCCGAATCTTTTGTACCAAAGGACCCGGTGTATTTGTGCAATTGATGCAATCTTTGGAGGCCTTGGGTCTTGAAATACGCAATGCCAATCTGACATCATTCCAAGAAAATTTACTGAACACCTTCATTGCAGAGGTAAGTAAACGTTCATTCAACGCTATAAATATCTTGTTCCTGTATTTTGTTGTCAGTTAGTAGGTACTATTCTTTAGTGCTTATCTCATGTTTGCCTTCTTACAGATCAAAGACTGGGAGATGATGAAGACCGAAGAGGTTAAGAAGGCCATTCTGGATGTGGCTGCTCGTTTTGGTCTGCAACCTTAAGTTTATACAGAGATGAGCAGCTTTGCCAACCATATTTCTTCATCACTCCTTTTACGGCCCGTGTGATTGAGATATCTGTCACTTGAGTTTCAAATCCCAGATCAGGCTTCAGCTAGCATAGATACTTGGCGAAGAAAAGTGGAGGGAGTCCATTTGGAGCTGCAAGAAAGTAGTCAACATTAAAGCAAGTCGATCAAATACTTACATAAAACATTCCAAGTAAAGTGGAGGAAGAAGCTGGAATTGCATCCGGTTCTGTATATAGTTATCCCTTTTTGATAAACTCCCACTCCACCCTTGAGATAGAAGCAAGTCGATAGTCCGGGTGTATCTTGGAACGTTGTTAGTGAGATTCAATATTCTTCCATACTACTGTAGTAGTATTTTTTAGAAACATCTCTTCTATGTCAGGAACATTGGTTGAGGCACCTCCACTTGTTTCTACTTCGGGTGAAATAACACGCATTCAAGTGCTTAAATGTGCACGTTCCTTTGCCAAGGTTCATCCGTATTCACATTCATGTGTGGAGCCAATTCAGTAGCTTTTTGTGTACAAAACCAGCGACTACTCCATACCTTTTGTCTTCCTGCTTGTTAGCTCGATGTGCAATCTTAACCTCTTCTTCCATGCACTCTACTGGATTCTGCTTCAGTGCCATGCGCAAGGTCGCCTTATCTCTATGCGTCAGCGTCATCTACAAAGCCAGACTGGACTGGCGCAGACTGTACATGGACACTTGGAGTCCCATTCCAAACCATTCTCCGGTCCATAATAAACTCCGTGCAGCATCCGCCCCGCCCCACGCGCGCTCTCAATCACGAGTGTATTGGCTGTTTCTCATCCACCACAGAATATTCGACTCAGTCCTTTATGCCTGTGAACCACTGCGAACCATTCAGGTTTGTAGTCTATGTACTATATCTGTACTGTTCACAGTCGACGAGGAAGTCCAGTTTACTTTGACGTCGTATGAGTTAAGGACTGCGTGACTGCTGAACTCTGACTTTGGTAGCAAAAAGTACCGTTGCCTGAGTCACCAAGTTGGAGGAACCGGGTATGAACGACGAGCTCGGTAACATGACTGTACTGTGGGCAGTAGAAGCCCAGTGACCACGTAGATGATGTTGTAGCGGACCGGCTGATGGACAACAACAATCGGCTCCGACTGCCGCTGCTGCTGAATCTGTAGGCAAATAATGTAAAACAGTACGGCACGTATCTTTGGCGGGATTCATAGTTCCTCCGATCATGACATATCACAAATAGCCGAGATCAGGTACACAACACTGACTGACTCTGCAACTTGTCGATAAGTGCAGCTACATGTCGCAACATAACCACTCTTCCGGTGAAACGATCACGGAAGATCTTGTCTCGAAAAGGCCGAATCGCTCGAACAGGATATAAGATCTGCCCTCTACTGTTCCGGGCAGCTCTGGAAAAGCACACATGCCTTAGAATACGCTTTCCAAGCCCATACCAAGACAGAGAATACGCTGCAAATTGTAGCCGAGATAGTTAGAGCCTGAGAGAAAACCGGAGATTAAATTAATGGTTGAGATTGGAAAGATGATACCAATCAGCATACCCTTCGAAAGCAAGACTTCGAAGTCTTGCTTTCATTCGCTTCGGACAATTTGGAGGCCACACCCAGACAGGGAATACGGTGAAAATTGTTGTGAAGAAAACAGATAGCCTGACAAAAAAACAGCTACCTGAGAAGAACTATAAACTAGAGACGAGTTTGGAAAGTTGATACCAATCGGACTAACCTCCGCCGCAAGACTTTCACAGTCTTGCTTTCATTTGCTTCGGACAATTTAAACTCCCCACCTAGACAGACAGTAAGTTGAATCTTCTAGTCAGGAAAAAAGACAGCCGGACAAAACCCAGGAAGGAAACGGAGGGAGAAAATATAAACAAGAGATAGATTTGGAGAGTTGACACCAATCACAATATCCTTCATCCGCTTTGGACATTTTGAAGTGCATGACCTGGTACATCCGAAATTACATTTTGTACACATTCACGGCCCAAGAGTTTTGTGAGCTTACGATGACTGTACTATAGACTGCAAATCAGTACACTGGAACAAGTCTAAAAAGGACTGGAAGGATAAATTTCTCTCACACTAGAATTGTCCCCTGGAATATGGTCTTATCACTTTGCTTCCAGGATAAGAGCCTGATTTGCGGGAGGGTGGAATAAAGCATCATACAGCCACACCAAAAGTACAAAGCCAAAGTAGGGAATATAATAACCAACTATCGACCCAAAAGTGAAAGAAATCTAATCTCTCTCTCTTAAGAATTCACTATGTCTTCAACCGCCACTCCTACATGCAAAGCTTTATCCTTGCATCTTATTACTCCCTGCAGATCATTGGACGTGAATGTATAGTTAAAATAATTCCTGAATCCACTTGCATAACTATTCAATCATGATGCAAGTTATCAAGAGCTGAATACTCAAAAGTGACAAAGTCAGAACTTCTCAGTACTTGAACCCCAAACTGACGATAATCAAAGATGCTCCTGGAAAGGTACGCAAAGTTGAAGATCTATGGTGCCACTGACCAACCGCAACGATACCTCCTCAATGTCACATGTTCCAAAATTATATATGTTCCTGGTCATCGCCATTGATTACAAGCTCCAAGCAATTGGGTCACGGATCTATTATACTCATCAAGCGTCCCTGTTTTAGCTGCTTGAAATACCTTCCTACATCATTATGAATTATCTTGGGAAACAAAAAATAATCCTAAAGCTCGACAACTACCGTGAAAGAAATGATGAGTTGTGATCAGATTCTGAGCAAACAGAGATATGTCCAAGACCATAGTGTGTTTGGGTTCAAATCTATGTTCAACACAGAGGGCGTTCCGCAGGAACGCCCTCTGTGTTGTATTGCGTTCGATCTGTAAGATTATATACATCTATGTATCCTGCGTTAAATAGCTTTCGCATAAGATCCTGTAGTGCTTTAGATCGCAGTACTGATTCCATTTCCTTAATAAGCAGGTCATGATGAATAGAGCTGACAAGCGGTTCATACGTTGAGGATGCACATAACGCAAAGTCAATTGAGAACCTTGGTAGGGGTGGTAAAGATCAAACGGTGGAACGTTCTAGCAGCTCTACCGCAATCTTGGGGTTCAATAACTTCCAGCAATGTCATTATCTAACAATAGATGAAATCATACAACGAACAATACACGATGACTCAATATGTAGAACCACCTTATCTTCTAAGACTGACATTTACCTCTTTTTAATTTTATCGGACATCTTGGATATCATTCAAACATCAACATGGTCATCAAGAGGAATAGTAATTATACAAGCTTCATCCACAAAATGAAAAGCAATTAGCTCATTGGATAGACACAACACATGTCTAACTTCATCCACCAAAGTACTGAAATCAAGTGGTGGACAAGGAAACGCAATTGTGGTATAAACTCAACAATGATTAGAAAGCCTATCCCAAAATGCCAACGTCACAGAATTTTGATGTGGTGCTAGCTACTGTAGGGAGTCCTTGAGGAGCCAACTGAGAGTGGCTTGCAGGTGCAAACCCAAAGTAGCTTGTAACCGGACACAATACTTGCACATAGTCATCTCTAACAATATCTTGAGCTGGCCGTGGTATAATGTGAAGAGGCCATAATGCATGGGAAGGGAAAAAAAAAGCCTAAACAGAAAAAAAATATTCTGGATATGTGCTTAACTAAACAGTGATTTGATGTACAGCCCATCGTCCTCGCGTTGACACTATGCTCCATCTCCTTAACATCTGACTCGAACTCTTTTTCTGCAGTACCATATTTTAACCACCCCTTGTCCTTGCACTTCACTTCCTCTGCTGCAATTACTGTACCCGGTCTTCGATCTGCCGAAACTGATAAAATCGCCTTTGGTTCTTTGAATTCGCGTTGCATCGAATTGAATCACATGCTCCACCGCTTGCGCGCCCCATCAATTCCTTTGAGTTTCAAATTTCCGAATTCTATTAACCATTCATGACTAACAACGGAAATTTCAGAAATTTTTTCTAGAAATTTTGTGCATTTTGAACTGCACTTCGGTTTTAGATCAAATGGGTGGAAAAGTTTAGTCTATGCCCACATTATTTACTAGTTGTTCAGTGGCGTCTGTAGCTTTGCCAGGTCTGAGTGGTTTTATAGCCGAATTAATTTTTTGTTTGCAATGCACAAGCTAAGACTAATTCAGATCTAGTTAAAAATCGAAGCTTCCCAAATAAGGTAGAAGTGTAAACCGATAGCTGCAGAGGTAGGAATAATAGCACCATAAATGATGTTTCGTTCTTCATGCCTGTGACCCAGGTCACAGGCGGTCTGAATATCCTTTCTGAAGATTTTTCTGCTGTGGTAGTCACAGACTGCAGCCTTTGGCGAGTTGGAACTTCGATGAGTTTGGATATTGCTACTGCTAGCCAGTTGCTATGAAAGCTTTCTTCGTACTTCTCACTCACAGCGTGCTCGATATTGAGAAAGCTCTCGGACTGTCCAGTCCTCGGCTTGTTGCAACCTCATACCCTTCCACTTTACAGAACATATCTCTCATCATCATGGTACTATGAAAGGCTAGCTTCTCATTCCATTTCTTGGTATGGTTTTCCCACTTTTTTTCTATCCACTCCGCCCACCTTTTTTCCCGAAAAATCGCCGATCCAATCGCCGTCCGCGTCACGGACACATGGTGCCCAATGACACAACGAGCAAGAACTGTGGTCAGGACTACTTTCATGGGATGAGTTAATCCGCACAGAGTTCACCAATGAACAGATCTCTCTGGAATTTCCCTTAAGCAACTGGCTTCTGCATTTTTTGGTACCGAGAAATGTCGATTAACAACCCAGCCGGAGTCAACTGTCGCTATATTAATGTGTACATACAGTAGTCTGCTAAAACCCTAGATGAAAGGATCGTTTTGTACCCGGTTCCATGCGAGAACAAAATGCCTCTCGAATAAAAGGAGAGGTCAGCAATGTTGGGAACCAGTTGGTTTCCTCATCATTTTGGCGTAATCAATCGTCCACTTTCTGTCATATTAGCTTCAAGCACCACATACTATCATTGCGGAAAATATCTGAAATTTTGGAAAGTAATTTTTATTTTTTCCACAATGATTTCGAGTATTTGATCTTGACTCATCCAGAACGTGGATTGATGACATGAGGATATTAATTCACCTTTGTAGTCCCTTTGAGTTATATAGCTGGAGATCTTTGAGAAATCTACAAGCCTAAATTATAAAAAATATAAACTTGATTTTGAATATTTGTAACCATTCTTTTGACCAACCTTTTCGTACCAACTTCATCACCTATGTATTATTTTTTGGCCCGATTTTCGATGGAAAATCAGGCGCTCGAAAAACTTTTATTGTTTGTGTGATGACTTATTACACATATAAGAATGGGCTTCAAACTGGAGCCATTTACAATATACGGGAATGGATAGATACCAAAAAAGCG